CCTCCTCCTCCTCCTCCTCCTCCTCCTCCTCCTCCTCCTCCTCCTCCTCCCCTCCTCCTCCTCCTCCTCCTCCTCCTTCGTCCCAAAAAAGCACACACAACCCTGGGAGAAATGGAAAAAAAATTCCCTATTTGAATGCGGCAAATTGCCTGATATTTGCACCAAAAAGATGGAACAATTTTTATATCTCTGAAAAAAGTGTTAGCATTGTGCTGCATTGGCTAGTTTTATCACCTTTTTACCCAAAAAAGAGGGAGACCTCTTCCCCCTATCTCCTTATTCAGTGGATGAGGACAAAAACAGGGTGGGAAGGGCTAAAATAGGATAATGAACTAATGGAAAATTTTCAAGGAGTAAAAGTAGGACCATTTTCGGTCAACTGAATGGAGGCACGCAACTGTCGAGAGGTATCGCTCTCTGCCAAAGCACATGCATTGGCCCACATTGTAGTAGACGAAACTCTTCATGACATTTGCCGTGGTGTTTCTGTGGTGGATTTGGACCAATCCCAAGTCTTCCTGTGATTCTTCCAATCGACATAATTGAGCTTTTTGTTGATGCTAATATTGATATTAATTATGCCTATTTATAACTATAGCAATGGGAAGCAGAGGAGTCACAGGAGCACAGAGGTACTGCCTCGAGGCAATCCTCTCCCTGCAGAGAGTCGAAACACCACCCCAATTGCCTCTAGACGACGCCTGCACCGATCAACTAGTCGGGAAAATCGACTGCCCTCGTGGCGAGGTTGGATTCGATTGGTGAAACCGAATCCTACCGACTCGTTTGGAATCGGTCTCTCCAAGGGCCTGTCTTCTAGGGGCATCTACGTCTCCGCAATTAGGCCCGGATCCGTTGCCTACACCTCTGGGCTGCTACAAATCTATGATCGGATCCTCAAGGTAGGATGACAACTGTCAAACATCAATAAATAAAACACTGTTGTCAAGTCACCAATTACTGAAAAATATTTAAATATAAAGAACCCCGAAATATTTATTATCAGGTATAAAAGATCAATCCTTGTCACCAACTGTCCTGGAAATAAGAAAAAAAGTGATTTTGAATAATTTTATTCGTAAAAAATTTTTCCTTTTGATTAGCAATTGTCAAAAGTAAAGAAGAAGTATGTTGTTGAAGATCTTGATGGCTTTCAACCACCTTGAAATATGGAGACACGCACGACTGGTAGCCATGCCATTCAAATCAGAAGGGGAGAAGGCGAGCCAATTTCTAGGGGCAATGTAGTGACAAGGTATTCGATTCCCTCCTCCTGTGCCCGAACTCTGTGGAAGCACTTTTCCCAGACAACTTTCCCTATCTAACATTTGACAAGCTTTTTTCACCTCTGGAAGTAGTCTGTCATATTATTTGTGTAACCTTGAAGGGAATGCAAAGGTATGCCACAAATTCCTTTTCAAAAGGTCAACATGGCATTTAGCGCGGAAAAAAGTAAAATTAGCCATTAAATAGTTACCAGTGCCTTCTTCATCATCGGTAGTTACACAAAACATGGGAATTGGGCCAATTTTTCATTGAGTGAAAAAGGAAAAAATCAGGAGGTGAGGCTGATCCGCCATGTCTGTCTAATCCATTTTGGCGATAAGTATATCCCTGTCAGAAGCAAGTAACAGTGACCCATTCCACAAGGCAAGACCATCTATCTTAGAAAATGAGGGTATGTCCTCCTTCAAGCAATCCGTTTGTTGTGTAACTTAGTGCAACCAGATATATCCACCTCCGTCACATATATGTGACGCAGGAGCTGAAATAGGAGCGTCACGTGTGCATAACACTCGTAATTAGTGAAGTTCTTTGGCAATTTGTCTTGAGGTTAGGTAAAGCGACTTCCCCTGGAGAGTTCCAATGCATTCAGTTATACCAATTAACACATTTTCTTTACTTGCAGCCTACCTGTGACCATTCTCCACAACTTTCCAGGTGCCACACAAATTTGGCACCGTGGGTGTAACATTTGATCCCAATGATGCTGGGATATAATTCTCTCGATGTGTTGCACTATCCAGACCTGAAATAGACACGCCTTGTTGATGATTTTCTGGAAGACCACTGATTCGGTAACTTTGTTGCCATCCTCCTTCCCCTCCTCACTTCTTCTCCTTCCTTCGCCTTCTTGTTTTTTCCTTTACTTCTTCTTCTAGAAGCGGTGCCTGGACAGGCAGTAGACATTTGTTAAATGGAAACATAAAATCTGACAATATTCACATTATTTTGGGGCATAGATTTGTTCATCCCGTCGCTTTTATGTCCGCTTTCCAACCCCTAATTCTGACCGAACTTTCTAGGCCAAATTCAAATTGGAAGATCTTTCCAGTAAGTTTTATTCTGAGGAAGGAAAAGGGACAGGAGGGCAGGGGAATGGGGGAGTGAAGGATTCAATCTTTTTTTACAGATAATAGAAAGGAGAGTTCAACTTTTTCTTCCCTTCCCACCCTATTGCCCTGGCGGAGGGCAGAGAAATGGAATGAGGGGGGAGTCGGGGAGGGAAAGGGGGAGGGATAAGTGGATTCAACACTTGCACAGTGGATAGAAAGGATTCGTTTTGGTTTTTTTTGTACCTACCGGTGGAGATATGGAATTTAAATCAAAGCAACATGAAATGGGCTTAAATCACGCTAATTCCATGGTCATGGAAATGACATTATCTGGCGCATTTCGAGGTGGTGTCTGTGGTAGGTCCCTCACATCTAACAATGTCACTCAGCTGTAAGAAGTTACTTGTCTTTATTGTTTAGATTTTTAGCTTTTATTAGACTGTTGCGGAGTCAATCAACAAAGCTTGAACCATTTGTTTTTTTTCTCAGGTCAATGAAACGTCGACAAAAGGTCGAACTTGTCGAGAGGTCGTGGCGTTAATTAGACGATCCAGTCCAGTGTTGGATCTATTCGTCTACAGACGTTATTAAAGCGATTCCGCCTTATAAATACACCCCTCTACCGCCCTCCCGCTCTTCGACTTTGACCCTTATCCTCTCTCTCTCTCCACCGTCTGCTACTTAGATACACTTGCACACACTGAGTGACAGACAGGCAGATGGACAGACATAAACACGCTCAAGCTATTCATTCCTTCGTTCTGATTTATGACCCAAACGCCTGCCCTCAGTCCACATTGTAGTCTTTCATTAAAACTTAACCTCCTCTATCTTACCCTCCTCTCCTCTACCACCTCCTCTTTTATTGTCCTAATTTACCAATTCAGTGGCCTTAGTGGAGAAACGTGACAAATCATGCCCCTAGGTCTTGATGTTGTACCTCTCCGACACCCCCTCCTTCCTCCTTTCCTTCGCTTTATCAACTTCACTCTTTTTATCCTCACGCAAAATGCACATGTGCCTCGATCTACTAACCAACCACCTAGTCACCAAACTTTGAAGGGCGCATTTATCTAATATACAGATATGCGGACTACAAATTGATGCTTTTACAATTAAACAGGCTTGAGGTAACCTTGTACACTGACTATGCCTTCCGTCAAGTAAACACCAGGTTTTAAAGAGAACCCCGGGCGTCTGAGTCATTTCCGCAGATGGTACTGCGCCAACCGAACCGGAAAGACCGAGTTTGCGAAGTTAACTGTCCAGTGGGTTGAAGTAAGGCAGCTGATGACTTTGTAGCTATTTCGCTCTGTTACAAATCGTCCCATCAAGGTGTTTGCAGGTGTCAAAAGAAGTAAGTCAACTGAATTCTACTCGGGGCGGTCACTGCTCTTCCAGTGAGTGTGATCGGTGTTTAGGTGACCTCGCCCCCCTCCCCGTCTCCCCCTCTCCTAAGGCGTTTTAGTTGTGCGATTGGGATTAAGGCCAGAGAGACGGTGGAATGTGTGTATGTATGCGGAATGGTGGTGTCATTTGCCTGCGGAGGAAGGGAACTTTTGGTTTGGGAAAGAATGGTGCCCACACACAAACACACAAACCAATGCATACGTACATGTGAAGGCGCGTACGGAGGGAAGAGGACCGCGCCACCACTATCGATTGCCCTGGTCTGGTATGTCTGTTTATTTCCTCTGCAAAGTGACACTGTGTAAACGCGTGCCTCGGTGCCGCCTCCACACGTGTTCATATCCGCCCACCTACCCATCTACCCACTTCTTCGGCAGCTGCTTATTATTTAAGAGGCTATCGGAAATCCTCCCTAATTTATGATTTCGCCTTTTTCTCTAGATTAACACAGCCTTTTGAGTCGTATTAAGGTGCAAGAGACCTGCACTTGTTTTAATTGTGTGTTTAGGCACGTGGGTTATTCAACAGCAGAGGCCTATACGCCTGATTATAGGCTCCCAGCTCTAACAGAATCAGGGCACATCCTGAGACACACAGCAAAGGGGTACTCGAAGCCACCTTTGCACCTAACAGACACCTTAGTCTAGTGATCTGTAGGAGGACAATTATCAAATGAAGTGTCAACGTCAAGTGAGGGGTCGTTGTGCCGCCTTAATGAAGATATACGATGCCTCGACTACATTTCTTAAAGCGGATTCGTTGCAGAGCATCTTTCAGCCTTGTTATGATTTCAGAATGCTAGACAACTTAGCTAAGTTGAGAGTTACTATGGTATATGTCTATAGTACGCGTCAGTGATTAATATCTTTGAGACACGTCTACTGAGTGAATAGGGTTTAGAGTAACTAGCGCGTTTATCCGGATATCCCTTTCGGGATTTATAGACACACCAAGCGGAAGCGATAAAACTTTTTTTGATTCAAGCTGTCGAGATCACACTGTAGGCACACTGATCCTTCTTCAAAATGCCCTCCAAGTTTAGACCACGTGACCCCCTTGAAGAAAAACATGTGATCACTGTGGCATGCAGGCTTAGGCGATGGCAAGCAAAAGCGCCTAACAAGAGAAAGCAATTGCTTCGAATAATTAATGATGTACAAACTTGCCAGCTTTAACTATTTTTTTTCCGGAATATTTCTTTTCAATCACATGCAACTATAAAGAGGTGAAATATAGATATTTCTTCTTCGAAGAGAGAAGGTTGTTCTTTTATAAAAAAAGTTGGCAATATCTCTAAGAGAAGGACAACACTATCGATGCGTTTCTATGTACGGTGCTGTGAGAGTCTATTGAAACTGGCGGAAGTAGCATATGAACAAATGTGAAAACAAATCATATTCTCAGAAGCAAATGTGTTTAACATGAGGGTGAAAGAAGTTACGCAAAACTAAGGTGGTTCCTCTGTCAAAACAAAGATTACAGGCATATTAATTCGATGTTTTTTTTTGACTGTGTTCAACGGCGCAGGATCTTCAGACAGAACAAGGTGTACCTTCGCTCTATGACATGGCCATCTGGATGTACCGTCGGTACTCCGGCTACTTTCAACTTTCAACTTCAGGACAATCGCTCAGGCGCTACACTAGCGGTGACAACAGGAAAACTAGGTCCAAAGGGATAACTACCAATTATCTGGTTTTGAAATCACAAAGGAAAGATGATCCTGACCAATTAACTTAAACTGAGGTGTAATGTTGACAGGTGGCCTAACATCACGCGTATTTAGAAGACAAACTAGTTACTGAAAGGCTAGTAAACCTGAACAGTTTTGAGAGGGCCCTTGTGGAGACGTCCACTGTACTCCCAACTGGACAAAAGATAAAGCGACTGTATTCCTACTAGCTGTGTCGAAGTGACAGCGAAACGGTAGGAAGGAATAAATACGGAATGGCAACAACATGAAGGTCCTTTAAAGGTGTCAAAACTAATGCGTCAAAAGCAAAAGGTAGAAATGCAAAGTGCACACGCTGTAGAACGCCTGAGCAGTATGAAGTGATTTAGTCCTAGGTCCCCTCAGCATAGTTTACAGAGCCGATAAATCTCTGAATACGATGGAATTGACAAGGTATATCATCGACGAAGGAGAGGAAAGACATTATTTCTGCCCCGCAAGCTACTGACTGCTATGACTGCGATGACTGAGTCTTCCTCATAGTCGAGAGAATTTGTAGTGGTTTGGCAGAAAATACATTGCTCACGCAAAAAATGGCTTACAGCCTACTGGCATGACCCGGGGGCCATGGTGCTGGGCATGAATAAAATCTGCAGAAAAGTAGATTCAAACTTTATTGAATGTAAAGCTAATCGAACTGCCATAATTTTGCAGATATATATATATGTATGTGTATTAGCACAATACATGAATGGACTGTGACAGCGCTATTTATGTCGTAATTCAGCAACGCCTGGCAAGGGAGCAACAAAAGTTAAAAAACCTATAATTTTGTCGTTTAATATGGTTTAAAAAGTCAGACTCTCAGCCATCAACCACTACAGGTAAAATGAATTGAATGCATTCTTCAGTGCACCGCGGACTTCAAATTATCCGCGGTGCTGCTTCTTGAGATGGGCGCGAGCTATTCTCATGTATTTGAGACCTACAGGGATCCTGATTCCGTACCAAATGTTACGAAACCACCTACTCACGATCCCTTGAAAGGATTTCCACGGGGTCGGAAGAAACGTGAACTTATTGTAAGCAGATTTTAGCTAGCACTCCGTTCTTATGCCTCGATCCTAACAATCACAGCTATATGTCAGTATAGTTTTGTACAGTTTTATGGCTGCAATCTATTGTTTTATTGTTTTTTTTTGTGCCAATTTTCTCACTGCTTGGATATTGTGGCAATCAAGTCTAAGTGCTAATTTTTAGGTATAATTTGTTGTGCTCAATAGTAGGTTCCTCCACAATGATCCTTGCGTAAATCTGGGATAGACAATACCAGTAGAAGCGCCTCTTGCGTTTCATCACTACCACTATCTAGTTAGGTAATTTCAAATTGCAAGTTTTGCCATAGATGGCAATATCACCTTGATGGCACTTGCGACTTCTATTGTTTGATCCCATACTGCTACTTTCATGTGTCTCCAGCTCTCTTCGTTTTGTTTCACAGTCGGAGCTACTGGCCCGGGTTTTCCCGAAAAGTAGTTGGTAGAAAACGCAATAACTCCCATCCCACAATTCCCCTTCAATGGACTTCTGTGATCTTATGATCCGCCCTAGTTACGAAGTTAGGCAGTGCAGTTATTCCTCCGTCATCTTGAACATCTAATCAACACTTAATTGGGTTAAGCCCCCCGCACAGCTTATTACTGTTCCATTTCAGGTCACAGAGGAAGAAATGATCGCAGCCGGTCTGACTTCAAAAGAACGCGACTACTGCGCACCGATGCTGATGGCATTGCGCAAATGCAGAGTCGAAAGGGGCGTCCTATCTCCGCTTTTCTGTGGACATTTTCGTCACGGCTACCTAGAGTGTCAAACCAAAGATCAAATCTTGCGAATGAAGGAGTACGAGAGAGAGTACCGTCTTATGAAAAAGGAGCAAACCGCTTCTTAATATTCATCTGTATTAGTCCCTAGCCGTTTGAAAAGAAAATAGATGTACGAAAGCAACAGCATTTCTTAACACCCAAAAGCAGGAATGAGTAGAAAGTTTTCTATAATAGTACAAACTTGGTAGAATGAGGGACTGAAGAAAAGGCATTGCCTCAAGTGCACTGTTCACTTCTCGGTGGGACTGGCTTTAGTTCGCAAGCATCCACGTTTTTAAGAAGAAAGTACAAATCAGCAAAGAAGACGAAGAGAGCAAGAGTAAAGCCACAAGAGATTCTCTGTACAGGATTGGCATGGCTCTGTCCAACCATGTCACTTAGGAAGTAACCGAAGACGAAGGAACCAATAACGACAAGCACGAAGTTGATTATCATCGTAACCTGCCGTTTCATGCACTGGACACCGTCGAATTCGGAAGCTTTGTATCTGGCTGTGACCCCGAGAGGAGGAAGGTGGCTAGTCATGCGGCCGTACTCCATGTTGGCAAACTTCTGAGTTAGACTTTCCACCCGTTGTTGGACAACTATGCTCCTGGGCGGAACATAAGGTTCGGGGAAAACGATTCCAGAGGATCGCACAAGTTTCCAAAGTGGTGGCAGGTTAAACAAACCTAAGGCTTCCATGTTTTCATGGGCTTCTCGAACCTGTGAAAACTTTATAGTTTTTGCGTCCTTAGGAATTTGTTCTATTTGGTTCTTCAAATGGGATGCCAGGTCGTTACAGGAGGTGGCCCGCCTTAAGAAGGAGGAAATACCTTCTGTCACTCGAAGATCAATGTGAGCAAATGGATCCTCTTCCATGTCGACTACAGAATGATCAGAGCAAATAGCATACGTTGGCGCCCGACGAGCTGATGATGCACCAACAGGCGGGTTTACAGCAGAGGCTCAGCTGATAACCTTGACAATAGCGTAATTAGACGAACATCCAATTGGTCCTAAAAGCGAAAACATGTAAACTTTTTTAGAAAATCGCTTCTATAAATTTTTAAAAGCGCTTTTTTTACCAATGATTTAGGCTCTCAAATTACTAAAGCAAACAGAAGAATTTAAAAGTTGCCTTGGCTTCGAGGTTGGTTCTTTCTGTTTTTTGGCTATCGATTTCACTCATTGAAAATGTATCGAATCACGTGGATTTTGCTTATTCTTTATCGTCGTCTTCAAAACTATGTAGAATTTGGACCCGGGCCATGCATAGTAAATGAATGATGCTAATTCATGTTTATTGATACACAGGTGGTGCACACAGTGAATACGTAATATATTGGTTAACTGTCGGACTTAGCAACAGAGCTGCATTACGCCTTAATCATCGTGCCTTCGAAGGTTGGGCTCACCTCTGGGCCATGCCATCAGCCCCAACCCCTACTGTATGTTAATTGTATGTATTCTTCCTGAGTGTTGTGTCCCCTTTCATCTTCGAGAAGTGTCGGTGCACTACATCAGTGACAACAGAAGTAAATCCCTTCTCAAAGGACATCTAATCAGAGTTCTACTGCTAGGAGAAAAGCCTTGGAGTGGCGAAACAATTGTTTGTAACAAAAGGACTAAAAATTTACATCTACCACGGGTAACTACCCCACTACTGAGTTTTTTAAGTAAGCTAATAGCAGTGAAGGCGACGCTAGCCGGTAAAACTTAAAGGTTTGTTGTGGAGTCGCCTACCATATCTGCATAAGATGTCGATAATCTAAACTCGTGATGCCTCGTACACTTCACTTTTAACTAAATATAACCCAATGTGGGTGTGTCTAGGCAGCACAAAAGTGGAATCAAAACATCAAGGGGGAATCGACGCGAAACCCTATTCCAAAGAAATGCATAATACGTTGTCATTTCTTACAAAAATCTGTTTTGGGTCAGTGCTCTTATAACTAGTCATGAATGCGCATGAAAGCCAGTACATTATCCGCCCCTGAATTTTAGTTCTTATACGGGACGAAACCCTAGATCCAGGAAAATGCCTAAAAGGAATCAGTGATGTTGCGGTTGAGTATCCCCTCAATCGCATGAAAATTTACTGACAAAAACGGATGGATCATGAATGTTTACTTACAGCACTGACTACATCATGGTAGTTAACATGGAGGGCCGATAAGGGGCTGCTAGGAGATGACGCCCAAAAGAGGAGAGGGGCTGTGTTACGGTAGCTGCTTAACTCCAGGTTTATTAAAAAGGTCACCTTGTTTCTTGGTCATCGTAACTTTACTGGGTGACCTGACCTCTGGACCATGCCAAAAGCTTCTAACCCTACCGTATGCTGAATATTTGAATATACTGTCGGAGCACTACGTGTTTTTTTCAACTCCAGGGCAGCCTTGGGTGGCAAAAGTTCCCTCAGCTGTTTCAAGAGCCTAACATTATACAAGTGGATTTCACTGAGCAAACAGGATACGTATTTTTTAACCAAGTATAAAGGAGCACGGAAACATAAAACAATATTTTAAGCATCTTGAGACGCAGCCATTAGCAATAGCTAGTTAAATAGTAAATCGTATGCAATTTTTCAACTGTGGCATTGCTAAACCCTAGCACCTTTTAAACGTACAAAAGGACTTAGAGAACGAATACGTTTCAAATGTTTCAATATGTTTCAAATTTTGTAAAATTGCTTTTAATTTTAAGCCATGCAGACCTATTAAACCAGCTATTTAAAGGCTTAAAAGTTGATGCAGTGCAGTTAGTAAAATACAAAAGTACTTAAAAAGCGATGAATTTTAAAGTTATTGGCATTAGCAGCTCGAGGCCCGGTCAACTGACTACTATTAACAATTTGAGTGAATTCTTGGCCATAAAACAGACAAAATAGGTCATTTTTTTAGGATCATTTTGTATTAAAGCACACACAAATCCGTACATCCCTTAGCATCTCGACGGACCAGTGTTTGTTCGATCGTTTCAAAAGTCAACCGCTGGGAATGACCGCCTGATGGCTGACAATTTCTTTTTGCAGAAGTCTGCATTCTTATAGGTTCAAGTCGTAATAGACGAACCTTCATGCACCCGCATGAGCACTGCATTCCAGAATCTAACAGGTTTCGGATGTTTGTCTGCTCAAAATAATCATGGAAATATTTTATGTGTCAAAGCAAACACATAGCGACATCCAATTCGTCGCATACGTTATTGCTCTCCTAAGCCTAGTCCCTCTGTGCAGGCCACAAATTCCCAATAGTTTCAGCCAGTCCTATAATCCCACGAATACTTTGAACCCTGTGATACACTCCCTGCAACTTTTGTTGAATAACCGAACTCATCTACTGTTTAGATCTTACCCCCGGGTAAAAGACTTTAATGTGGACCTATCACAAATCAAATCTCCGACAAAACAGCAGCCCAGTGACTTAATCTTCATTGGTTCTGATTTCTTCGATGATCATCAATGTTCTTTGAAAGGCTTACCTGCTCGAGAAAACTCTTGGTTTGCGCTGATCGATTTAAGGAACGATTGCTCTTCTCTCGATGCCATCTTGGGTGTCCTTAAGTCGGCGCGATTGATCAATGGGACTCTATTGAGAGGGATTCTGTTTTATGTTGATGAGATTCCTAGTGCTCCGAGCCTCAATAACCTTGGCAACAGATCTGGTGGGTTTCCAAAAAAACATTTTCTGACAACTGGTCTTTATGCCCAAGGTTGCTGGGTTCGCTTACCCAACTATTTCTTATTGTTTTCTTGATTTGTCTTTTTACCATGCTTCCGGGTGTCACGTTTTTTCCCAAATATCCTTTATTTCTAGTACGTCAGCCGTTTGACTTGTAATGGCCCAGTGGATCAAGTTAGCATAACCTGAACATTTAAGTAGTTGATATTAACTCAGGTCCTTGGCGTTGTGTGAGCCACAACGCTCCCATCTGAAACCAAACATCGTAGCCATCCATAGACATCTGCAAACGAACTGGGATAGTATGCTAGTCGTCGTGGTGTACTGAGTTGCCTAATAAGCAGCCTAGTTTCACTTTTTCTGTCCTGCAGAGCTGCACTCGGCTCCTCTATATGCACTCCTGTTGCCTCGGGAGGCCGTGCCTCTATCGGTACGACGATGCTCCGATACACCCAACACAACCACCGCATGTACAGTTGCAATCTCCACCTCCCCCGAGGGCACATCACCACGATCGCGCTTCTGGATCCACCGATCACCATCATCTCCCCCACCCTCTCCTTCTTCAACCCCATCTTTTCCACGCCACCGCGTCAACGCCTCTCCACCAGATCATTATAGTAACCAGTCATCCTCTGATGGAACTGTCGGTAGTACCAGTGGAAATGGGGTTAGCAGTGGGAGCGGAGGAGTGGTAAATATGGAGGACGCCTTCCTTAATCGCTCCTCTGTCCTCTTTGTTGCCGTCTCCTTCATCCTCCTCATGTTCATCTCCCTCGCTTGGCTTGTCTTCTACTACGTTCAGCGGTTCCGCTACCTCCACAGCAAGGAGCGCGCCTCGGTGATTCCCTAGCTCTCTCATTTTCCTGCTTTATTTCGAGGGCATTGTCTCAGCAGAAGAAATAAAAAGTGGGGATTACTCACCCCGCGATGAGGAAGGGAGGAAAAGGAAGTAGAAGGGGCGGTGCGCTGTGTTTTACTCATCTCCTTTATCCGCCACGGACATGCTCCTCCTATGGGAGCATTGTTAGCCATTGCACTGTTATTATGCTGGCCTATCTTTAGATTTGGTGGTTTAACGGTGGATTTTTAAATCACCAGGCGCAAAGAAAGTGAATTAACACCGTAGCCGCCACGTTCTTAGGGGGACAACGGTCGCCACGATCAGTGTTTTGTTATTTGGTTTAGATCTTCTGTCAAATGCCATTTCCTTCTCAAAAGCGAAGGGTGTAATTTCTCCCCCCAGATCAAGATCTTTCACTTCGTCTAGAGGATAAATGATATATGTCACTTGGTGTAGGCGGTGCATCGAAGCTTAGAACCTGCGATGCGGTTGCAGCTCCCCACTAGAGCACCTACTGAGGGCCGGAAATAACGCATTACCTGCTTTTAGGCTAGACTATCCATCCTACCTGTTGTTTGGAGTGCATCTGTGAATTCATCACCTATCATTCCTTTCTTAATCCTTCAGCGTCGCCTGGCCGAATTGGCTCGCAAGGCCGTGGCGCGGATCCCGTTAAAGTTGCTACAGGCTGGTGATAAGGTGAGTTGTCACACATGCCTGCGTCATTGCGGACTAAGATTGCCACTATTTGTCACCCCTTGAAGGTGGTTGTGTGAGAGATTAGAAGGGTCAGCAAACCTGGAGGCGTCGGTTGTATCAAGGATTTATGAACACAGGAAGGGGTCTTTGTGTAGCAGATAATGAGTCATACATTCGTCATTTATTCATTCATTGGTGAAGTGTGTGTGTGATTCACTTTCGTGGACTGGTGGTGTTGATCAATTCCAACCCAATCAGTTGGTTGGAAGGCTTCAAAGTATCCAAGCTAGCGTTGGTGAGTGCCTCTTTTCGCATTGATACAATACGTAGCAGCACTATGTACTGAAGTCCTGGTGACAAGTACAAGAGCAGCTAGAGAGGCAGCGTCCACGCCTCAATCCACTTGGCCAATCACGTGTCGTGAGAAGACAGGCGAAGGGCGAACGGGAGTAGTTTTGTTGCCTACGTAAAAGCGAGCCTCTCTTTATAGCCTCGGAGTTTGAAAAGGCAGCCCATGGAGTTGATTGATTGACCTTAAGGTCACGACACTTTTTCTTTCTCGTTCTGTCTGTATGTGTAGGAGATCGGTGCTAACGGAGAACACTGCGCTATTTGCATTGAGCCCTATCGACCCTTCGATAACATCCGAATTCTTCCTTGCAGGCAAGTAATATGGTTCATTCTATATCCCCTACTTTTTATCCTCCAACTCGTCCAGGTTGTCCCGCCTTCGATGGCTTGGCGCTCCTTGTTATAGGTCAACCTGTAGTCTGAAATTTCTTCCCTTAAGAAAGGGGAGATTTAGTGATGGGTGGTTTTTCTCGTTATTTTATTGTGTTTCAATAGCTCCCACGTCCGTCGCCTGCGATATTCCCTCACCAAGGCACCAGTTTAAAGCCTTAAAAGGGCTTCCAAAGACCTCAATTTTGTCATTTGGTTGCGCTTTCATTTGTCTACTTGATGTTAGCCTTTTCAAAGTGGCACTCCAAAGCTCCACTAAGGAAAGCTCATTTCCAACAGGTCCATTGAAATGGACGATGGTTTTCCATACAAACACATATTTAAGCAGCTTACATTCATCTCATTTAGTTTATCTCTCTTTTCTGCAAACAAAAGGACTCTTTCTTTTCCAGGGTAAATTTCTTGTCATGTGATCCCTTCATCCATCTACCAAGGCCTCAATTCACACCTAACTGCGCACACCTCTGCTTTTATACGTTCCTCCTACTTCTCGAACTTTTTTATTCACCTCTTTGATCCTTTCTTTAGGACAAATCTGTTCTCTCTAAGATATGTAGGTCGTTTTCAGCCTATCCCACCGGCTGTCATTGGTCTGAGAGCCAGATATTTAGTTAGTTAACTTACATCGTTGGCAGTAGTCTGTTTCGGAGAGAAAATCACTTTCACCGAATCCTCGAAGATTCTGAAGTGAGTGAATCCATCAGGGATGGGGCTATTGGGTTCGAAGGGCATTTTTAAGCAATCAAGTAAATTTTTTTTCCATCAAGTCATGCCTAGAGGTGTGTAGCAAATTTATACCATCCACTGTTCGACGAGTCGGTTTGGACTAATCTGTGCGGTTTCAGGAACCCCTGAAAGCCCTCTGAAATAGCATATTAATGGACACTCCACCATCCCTGCTTATGTGACCCAAATGTGGCGTTAGGGCGTGCAAAAAGTCGTCGGAAAGGCGAGAGTGAAAGAGAGAGTGGGAAAAGAGAATGCATGAGGGAATGAGAAAAAAAGGTGCCATTCCGTCCATCCTATTGCGGGAGGCCGGAAGTACAAAATTTGCCCTTTTGGTTTTGTTTCTATCGTTTTGCTTGCTTGCTTGCCTGCCTCCTTGCTTGCATGTCTGTGCAGGCTTGTATGTGTGTGTGTTCATGTCTGTGTCTGATTGGTTGTACCACTTTCCCCTATCTGCCCTTCTTCTGCGTCATAATGCGAGGTCGAGGTTCTTCAGCCCTGTCTTCCCTTCCCCCACCCCCTGGCAAGTCAAATCCTTGCTGATTACTCCCCTTTTTTCAGTGGAGAAAATTCCACACAGCAATTCTCGAGATCCCAGGATTATGCAGATTCTCCACTTTCTTTTCGTCACCACATCACTGCCGGGCAGACCAGTTTCAACCCATAAACCGGCCACAGCAATCACCTCAGGGTCGAGGACGTTTAGCTTCAGACTGGGTGTATGCTTTATCTTGACCTCCCTTCACCTCATGAGGTCATTTGTCCGTTTGCTGCATTCCTCACTTCTCCGAATTCAATTGCATGTCTGCGTGCATTCCAATCTGCATGTTTTGAAAATCCTTCCTTGCGCATGAGGGCTAAACGAATGTCATCCGTGTGACCCGGATCCCAACCAGGATATTTGGGATTGTTTTTCTTCCCCCCGTCCAAAGCAACTGAACGTGGACCTCGATACAACGCGAAATTTTGCATCCTTCAGGCTGGCAAATGCTAGACATTTTATTGGTTCCCCCAGGCTCCAAATGGCTGTGTGTGCGTGTGCATGCTCGCATGTCTTGGATTGCGAATGTTTGTAAGAGCCTCTCCCCTCCCCCCCCTCTGAAAAGCAAACTATGCTTACCTGACTCGGTCGTTTTGTCGTTGCTAATGATGATAGAATTACAAGTTACCAATCAAACCATTCTCCCCATCCGCGTAGCGATCGGTCGGTGGTCTTTCGTCCATCTCCACCCAACTTATTTGTTTGAAAGAAAAAAAGCTGTGAAGACGAGAGAAAGTCCACCCTCCAAAATGCCAATGAGGCGAGCCACTCTGAAGTTGGCTTTACTAAGAACTGGTGGAAGGTCTATCAGCCTAGTGGCATAGATGGCACGAGGGCTAGAACATTGAATCGGCTCGCGGAATATTTCCTTTAAGTAAAATAAGTTTTTTGGCCTTTTCTTGATTCGTGTATTCTGAATGAAGTGATTCCCGGGTGGTTTAAAGATTGCCAGCTTAAGTCCTCTAAGAACTAGCGACATTTTGGGGAGGAATTACGTGCCCACTATGTTATCTCCGTGTTCGCGTGAATGTCACAGTCCGGGAGTATTCCTTCTTTCCTAAAAATCCTGCTAGTGCACAGTCCGGTGTGCTTTGTCTTTCTTTTTTGCATGTTTTCTCGCGCCATCGGCTAATTCTGTAAAGACACTTATCTCTACCACTATGGTTGCGATTGCTGACTACCTAAAAAAGTATTATCTTGGGGTACATTCCCCCTTAAAAAACCCCATCAACTCAATCCCAATCTCTCTTGGATATCTTCTATTTTCACACGTAATCTTGGAACATACGCTGAAGAATAATACCGATATATCGTATCTATTCTATAAAAGTCGCTTTACTCGTACAAAACAATTCTATTTGCACGTAATCTCTTCTGGAGTCTTTATCATACGTTTTGAAGTCATCAGAGAGCTCGATAACTCGTGTCTGGCGCGTGTTGGGTGTCTGGGTTTTCCGTGGGTGGCCTTCAAATCGCGCTGAAGGCGGTCTTTTAATTTTGTGGATAATTAACTAATAAATCACGAAACAGTTGTCATAAATGTTGCAATGTGCTAGCACAAATTGTACTATTGTGAATACTATAAATTTCAGGAAGTACGTGGTAATATTGTTATAAATGTCAGTTTTAGTTTTTGTTAAAATCACAAATAACATGGGGCAAATAAGTTGTACAAGGTAGTTAGTCAGTTGGAATTTCTGAGTAATCAAGTGAAATCTCAGTCAGTTACTGGGATCGTTCTCTTTTGAAGCTCGATAACTTCTGTCCAATCTGTCTTCTATGTCTTGAAATCTTTTACAGTGAACCGTCACGCCAGAGATGCTTCCACGTTCTCTTCGCCAACGAGAAAAAATTGTTTTTCTTTTTTACCAATGCAGCTTCGTTTACAGATTACCCAAACACTTTTCTCTCACACCATGAAGTGTTAAATCCTCAGTCTCTTTAGAAGTCGATAATGCGTGCCTGTTTTGCCGAGCCTTTACGAATACTGTTTTCGTTATTAGAGGGATTTTAGTAGTTTGGAGCCAACTAATCAGCTTTTGGCTCAATTTGGTGCAACTTGAGGCCTCCCTATCCTGCATTTGTGACCCCGAGTTGGTGCTAAAAAAGAATTGCAATGCCACAAACGCTTGACACACGTATGGAACGTAAGGCTTTTCAATCCCACATAAAAACCTTCTCCTACGTTGGTTCTAGTTTTTTTGTTGTTGTAAGGGGTAAAAAAACGCCCATTTTAGTGAGAAAAAAGCAGTCTGCGCTTTTGTGTAGGGCTATTGTCTACCTGCCTGAATAACTCCGACACTTGACATCAATGGCGGTGACGCTCATAAAATAAAACGAAAAAAGCCTCCCCCATGACGAAGACTAAAGTACACTCATGCACACGCATTCACACACACCCAGACTCAGACTGCTTTCTTAAACATGGCGACAGAAATCAACGTCGGCTTTGTTAGTTTGTTACTTTGAGTGGTCCGAGAAAATTGCGGAAAGTTCGCGTGGTAGAGGCGGAAGAGGAGAGTGAGAGTGTGTACGTGTGAACGCTGTGCAGTCTTTCTTGTCTGGCAGTCGGTTAGTAGCACATTTTCTCACGCTACACCATAGCATGGCGATGGCACACACTGCAGTCCGATGACAATGCTGATGGATAACGCGTCTGCCAGCTCTCTGTATGTGTCTGTAGGCGTGGGAGAAAGCCGACACCACTCAATTACCCCTTAAATGACTCACCTGCACCTGTTCCTGCTTTTTCATCCACCGTACCATTCTCTATCCTTATCAGAAATCTACGCTTCATAATAATCCGACAGCCCCTTCCCAAAGCAAGAAGTACGAGGCTCAAGTTAATCCAGTCACTGGGGTAGACTATTCAGCCAGAGACTCCTGAGTTGTTTAGTCTGTTGGATCACACGAATACAGACTGATCATGTGTGGGAATGGGTTTGGAAAACTGTCTACAACATCCGGTTGCGGACTGTTGCACCGACCCTGGCGTTCTTGTAGGCACGAGAACAGTGGATCCCACCATTTTGGTTGACGACCACATGAACTGGCCGAATAACTTCAGCGTTTCTGATCACCCACAGTAGACAAGGTGGATATCATTCTCAGTAGGAACTGGAAGTTGCTTTCAAGTAGTGCTTCTTATTTTTCTCTGAGTAGGAAATGTTTCAAGTGAATCGCTCTTTAGCTACTTTTCCTGCTTTTAGACTTTGAAATTTTTAGTCACCAAAAAGCTGAGTCAAATGGTTGTTGTTAGTTCATTTAAATGTACTTCACAAGACGGCATTCAAAACTCTTCCAAATGCCATAAAATGTAAAGAGGTGATGCACACAACGGGACACAAATTTAACTTCACTACAGTCTGCGCTGGTAGATTTTCCATACTCCCGTTTTTTTTTATCTGCAAAGGCTCCGTCTCTTTTTGAGCAGTCGACAGTAGAATGAGGAGACGGAGAAGGAGAAAAAAAAACTGAAAGGCGAAAACACGGTACAAAACAGCTTCGCTGCTGTAAATAGGAGGTAATCAACTGCCCACCTTTCTGATTGGTTCCCTCGCTTAGGTGGTGGGTGGTGCGCACATTGCATGCGCGCGAATTTTTTGAAAGTGACCGGGTGAGAGAACGCGACACCGCGCACGCCCTCCTAAAACCCCCTAAACTTGTTCCTGTGTTTCTGAGCCGCTGGTAAGGGCTTTTGGATTAGTTAGTGCGTGTTGTCTCCAGGTGCTACGATTTCACATAAGCTGGCACCTTCAAAACTCGCCTCCCTCCTCCCAAATGCCCAAAGTTGTCGGAGTTAATCAATTAAGCCTCAATAGCTCCAAGATTGGCTGTTTGTTCCTCTTTTCGACGTTTTTGATCATTTTTGAAACATTGGAACATCTGCTATCCCACCGGTGACCGCGAATTGTTCGAAACTACCTTAAATAAATTGCGAAGGCACCTTGTTGATCTGTGGGTGTATTTCTGTTCTGCAGACACTACTTTCACAAGCTTTGTATTGACCCTTGGCTGTTGGAGCAACGCAGCTGTCCGATGTGCAAGTTGGACATCCTACAGGCTTACGACTTCCGCCCAGAGATGGACCGCTCCTGCCCTGCCTCAACCGGTAGTGATTCTAGTACCTCTCCTGCTGTCGCTTCTGCGGGTCAGACTTCAAGTCCGGTGTTGGTGAGAGGGGGTGTGGGGACAGAGAGGGAGGAAGGAGGGGTGGTCACCGCGGTAAACACTGCTGGTGAGGAAGTGACTCCGGAAACCGTGATTACCGCTTCAATCTCCAATTCGGTACGTTGTGGTGCATCTATGCGATTTGGGGATTTGTTGTACAGTGTAGTTTGATTGATTGGCTTAGCAGATTACTTCTACATCAAAAGCGAGCCTGACATGTCGATCCCGTTGTCTAATGAAAGGCAGCTAGCTCTGAAATGATGGCCTTCTTGACACACTTTCTCATATGACAGAAGCATGCGAACGAAGCAGGTGGCGGTACCCCGCGCGAAGAAATATTACACGCTTTGCATCCACCTACAACTCATTTGCAAGGCGTGCCGATGTGCTACTTTTTTCATCAGCGATTAGCAAGGCGGGGGTGTGCACCGGCTTTGTTGTCTTTTTATTGCCGTGTCTCCTCCGTTGAGTCATCCCTAACGCACCGCCCCTACCAGTGAAATGTCAGGACTCGGTCACTGCTACTTACTACCGGTCAGTAGGCACACGCTGCAGCCATACCTTTTTTTTAGTACCATGACTTGGAGCAACAGTCGGGGGAGTCAACTGCGCCCAGCCGTGTCGACTGGTTCAGAGGACTCTTTCGGCCTCCTACAAGTACCCCATATTATCAGCGCAGAATCAGACGGCTCTGCTTGAGGAATGTAGAGATAACGACGGCGGAGGTGGAAACCCTTGAGTCGCAACCCAGCAGCCACCTTCTGCCGGTAGAGGGGTGTGACGAGGACCCTCCACACGCCTCCCCCGCGACTGTATCGTGACTTCGTCAGCCTGCGCAATTTTCTGTCTGTGTATCCCACCCTCTCCTCTCTCGCCTACCTTTTTCCCTTCCCCTCAGCCCGTTCTCCCTCGTCTTTCACTCGTGCATTTCACCTCCTTCGCTGTCTTACGCCAACTCACTCGCTCACAGACACAATCGCATTTAAACGCCTCCCCTTCTCCTTTGTCTTTGTCCTCTTATGCTGTCGCCGCTGATGGAGTAGCCGTTGTTACCACAGCTACCAATTTTGATTGTCCCAGACGCCAACACTACCACTGTTGCACAATGGACGATCCCTTTATCCATAACATATACATAAACACGCCCATATCCACGTAGACGTACACACTTGTCCATAAACACGCATAAATACCACAAAAAAACGAAACAAATGAAACAGTGTTACTATATATGAGTCGTGTATCTAGATGAACGCGAGTTACTCTGATTTTCCTCTGATGCAGTCTTTCCATTACCTGTTCTGAGGAAAGTAGGGGGAAACAGTTACTAAGTGAACAGCTTTCGGTTGATAGGCTTCACGAAGGGGGAGGGGGTCGCACGAACTTTTCCTCACTGGGGGGTGCACCTACTCGCATGAATAATCGGGGACCATTCTCGATCCCAACGGAACTCTGTGAGTACCCTAGGGCGCACTATGGATGCCCAGTGGGGTGGAGAGTACCCACGTCTGCTGCAGAAAAAGTTAACCTAGGGTCCAGCAGAGACATGACTGTGTGAAAAGTAGACCAAACATAAGTCGCTCCAGTCAAACAAAAAGTACAAAAATTAAAATGTGGATGTTAAACATGTGTGCACATGAGTGTAGAAACATTGATTATTGAGAACTCAATGATAACAAAAAACTTCCTTTGGACAGTCAATCATAGATCGGAAGTAATCCAAGCAGTTTGTAGACCAAGGAAGGGGACCGAATTAACGGATCGTGGAAAAAGACCTAAGCGATGGCCAACAAGGAATCCTCCCAGATGTGATGAAGATAATCTAAAAGCATTTAAGACAGAAAGAGAATTAAAACACGAGTGTACAGATGCAAAAGCCTCTCCCTCTCACTCGCCTACCCGCGGTCGTGTAGTTGGATGTGTGCGGCTTAAACAAACGAAATGGTTTAGAAGACGTTCCGTTGGATCATTATCCACACTCAACTCGACGTCTGTGAAGATCAGGGCACATATAGCCCTTTGTACATTGGGCACACTTTCTAACAGATTCTGAAATCCACCTTAAGACGAGTCGCAGGTTATCATTTGAGAAAACCCACTATAGCGGCTTACCAGGCGTTGAAAAGGCAATTTCATGCTGAGTAATCCCACAGCTCCTATCGTCCATGCTGAAGGTGTCCTTCACGATGTTTACCAGACGCGGTCGGTTATTGGTTCTGAGTGCAATGGTAAAAGACGTGGCATTTAAACCTACAAATTTTTGAGGAGTAGACGTACATCTCCCATCCGTCGTGAAACGGCCAATTTTTGAGAGCAAATCCAGACGGCAAAGCAGTGGTCGGAGGGCTGATCAATAGTGGCGCGGTTCTCCTGCACCAAACCCAACGCTATTGCCAGGGATATGGACGTGATCGATGCACTGTCCTCGAATGGCATTTGTAACACAATATCCGTGTCGGATTGAGATATCTCTGTCAAGAATCTAAGCTGCAAAAAGGCAATGATAAGGAGGTTAGTATGAGTTATAAAATTGCGTGTCCAATGAATCCACGTACCCACCAATGATGAAGAAAAGGAGGGAAAGCAGTCTAAAAGTAGAGGTAGGCGACTACTGAAACGACACTGAAAGACGCGATCTTCGATGAGACAATTTTTGCATACTCTGGAGCAGTTTGCCATAGCAGACTTGAATATGTGGGTACGACCCATTTCGTGGAGGCCCATGGATGCGATTCCCACCGGCACGTCACAGACAGAACACAGGGTCGAATTTGACGGTACCTGCGAAGTTCAGTAGGAACCATGCCAGTGCAAGTAACACCAGATACCAAATTTCAACGCAAAATTAAACGTATTTGGGGACGGATAATGAAAATTTAGGCACAAAAGTAGGAGAAGCAAGTAAATGCAAAGAATTTTCGAGTTACGAAGTCTTTAACTGAAGGAATGTTGGTCACAGCATCGGACGGAACTGTATTCAGGTAGTGTAAGTTGGAGGGTGAAGAATTGTTGACCTGTAAGAAGTATATAAACAAGAATTCACCGTCGACTACCTTTTCAATGCAATAGCTGGCTTTGTTTCGATGCTTTTTGCCATCCATGTGCGCCTCTAGTTGGCTTTTAGAATTTAACTGAAGATTGCAAACACTGCAAAATAACGCAGATGTAGAGTCATTAAGGTTGATATTGGAAGAGTTAGAAGGGACACGGTTCAAGGCATTTATTGAAGGTTTAGTAAATGTAGCGCCTTTATAGGGATCGTCACCACCCTCAACAACGTAAATACCCTGCAATGAGCAGGAAAGCATTTCCAAACCAGAACAATCCATGTTGGGTTCCTACAACTACAAATTAGCCTTACAAAAAAGGCACTACCTGTCCTCGAGAGCCCAATACTTGCTTTTGCCTGTCAATGTGCTTTTTTCCTTTCACGTGAATATCAAAATTAACTTGGGAATACAAAGGGACATCGCAAGTTGAGCAGTAGAATTCCGACTTCCCGGAAGAATGAGGCACTCTCGATCTTGGATTAAGGCGATCTGTGAAATCAACGACTACAAAAGGTGAGGCAGAAGAGGTGTCGATTGGTGGGGGACTTTTACAGCAGTGAGTTAGCATTTCAGGTGCCGAATAATGTTCGGAGCAAGTAGGACATGTCAGGTCAGATGAATCTGACCTTGGTGAAATCTGCCAAGGTTGATAACAATCAAAGCTAACACGATCCGAAAGCGTTAATGCATGCTCGCATCTCCTTAAATGCGTTTTGCTGCTTTGGTGAATTCGCAATTGCTCAGGTGAATTGCAATTCTTGTTGCATACAGTGCAAGAGTATGAAGAAAATTTACTCATCTAAAAGTCAATAGAACAAAAACACTCAAAGGCAGAGAGCTCAGGAATGTGAAATGACGAAATCACCGTAAACCTTTACCTACCCAATGAGGCTGCCACTTAAAACTGCGCTATCCTTTGGCCCATATAAACAAAATATTATGAATAGGTTTTGCTAATTATGCAACAATATTAGTTCGTTCAAATAAAATCTAGAATCAACCTTGGGTTAATTAATACAGGATGCTTCCGCCCACAATAGCCGGTACCAGAAAAGGCCATCGAAACAACACCCTCCTACCACCTCCCACCACCACCAATCCCACAAAACAACCAACGCGCATCGACCTCACACCCGCGGAAGTGCACACACCAACCCCCCGCCGAAGGAGATTCTTGGGTCCAACAAGCGTCTCATTTTAAGAGGAATATGAAACTTCAACCCGAAATCTCATCCACGTCGACCTCTTTTCCGCCTAAGGTCGAATGATATCTCGCCGAAGTCATTGGATTCTCCCGAATCGATGCAGATCGCCTCAGTGTCTGAAATTTCGGGGATAGCTGCAGCCGCACGCCTTGTGAGGCCAAAGCCTCTCCGAGGGGCCTTACCGCCAAATCCACGTCTCCCACCTCCTCGTCTGCGGCCGGTGGAATTTTGTTTTTCAGAAATCGAATGGGCACTCGAACTTGGTCGATCGCAGCCGGTACGAAAAACATTTTCACCGTCCTCTGACACCTCCTCAATGATATTCAGAAGCATTTGATCTTCTGTTTCACCCCGCGACTCATCTGAAGAGGTGGCAACGAAGGGGCTGGTTATCCGTTTCAATCGTCTGCGGGTAGATACAGATGTGTCCGATATAGCTTCCTCTATGGACTAAAAGGAAAACTGTAAATAGTCGGGCAGTGAAATTGGGAGATACATTGCTTGTGTGGACAAAATCTGTCTGCCTAGAGTTGAAGCTGTGCCTTACCCAGCATCATTATTTAATTTTTTGTAATTCAGACCTTTGGTCCACTTGTAACGGGTCGACTATGGGAGGAACAATTGCCCTCCCCGTGATTTCACCAAAATTGGTTCAAGAAAGCTACCCTGAAAAACGGTGACGAAGCCTCGTGCAATACGAACACTTCAGGTGAATTTTCTCATTGACTTTGACCATGCGTTCAAGGCATACAAATGAACATTGTGCTTAATCACAGGTGCTTTGAAAGTGTTGCTTTAGACAGGCATGAGAAATGGGACATGGTTTATACCCCGTAGCATTGACGCATATTTTACCTGGGCATTTAAGGAAGAATGCACATTTCAAATCAAGTGATGGTAACATACCTCTGTTTTGACAGAACCGGCATCAATGACTGAAGCGGAAGGAGTAGATTCGTGCATTGGAGGTCCTGAAAATTAGAAAACAATTAACCAAGATGTTATTCCCGAAGTCAACTCCTGCAGATTAAAGAACAGAGCGGTTCTTTCCTGGAACGAGAGGATAATTTGATCGTCTTAAACGTAGCTACAGACGTTCGACACTGAGCTAGTAAGAAAAAAGCAGCTTCCCAACCAACTACCTCCATTCAAATGTGACAATTCTTACAGTAAATTCAAAAAAAGGCTGCCATACAAAGGCAGTTGTACGACGCGCTCAAACACGACCGAATATGAGCACTTCTTGCCCTGTCAGGCAGCCTTAATACTAATAACTCACGAATTAGATCCAACAATGTGAGTTTTGCACCAAACATCTGTGCCATTTTCTTCACTATTCCAGCTAAGTAAACGATCTCTACACAAACCAACTTAGGTTGCGTCACATTACTAGCGCCAGGCATAAAGACCGAGACAACCAGAGGAGCTGGAGAAGAAGGCATCACTTAAAACGGACGTTTCATGAGAGTACCAAAGAACAAGGGAAAGTGGTGTTGAAACGCCAGTAGAACTACCCAATTTCCCACATAAAACTATCTTAGGGAACGATTTAGGCATATGGTGACTCGACCTTACCACCACTTGCAGCTTTATCATCAACCTCAGCTTTCCTACGAATGTTTGCGAATCGCATGACCTCTGGGATGATTTCCTCTTCACCACATCGGACTTCAGCCAGATGACCCCGAGTCTGAGCCATCATCTTTGCCACAGTAGTGTGGATGGCCTCGTTGTCAGCACCAATGACGAAGTGGCGCAGCGCCGTGGCCATCTCCACCTCGGTGAGGAGCTCTAACTGGAGCTTAGAGTTTGAGGCAAAGTAACGGCTGATGAAAAATTCCACATCGTTTACTGAAAAGCCGCCTCGCTCCGTTGCGGAATTCAAACCTGTCCCGGGCTGAGAGAAGGCAGTGGTGTTAATGGCGGTTCCACGACACGTAGCGTCATCGCGCTTGGTAGTGAAGGTGATCAGGTCCTGAGAAATGTTGAAGCAAAAGTAGCCTTAAATTAACCAAAAATGGACGATTTCCCTTTACACAATCATCCACGAAAAAACACGAATCACACATAGCAGATCGTCAATAATTTGAGATGAAAGTGAAGGAGAAGTGGTACTGACCTTGGGATTGGCCACGCGTCCAACAAACTTCTGACCAAATCGAAGTGCGCTGAATCTCTCAAAACCACCGCTTGTGTCAACGCGCAGTCTGACCAGCGGTTCTGACGGCTGTTTGAATATCATCGCTTCTGACGCACCCTCCTCTGCCTTCACCACGCGTTCCTGCTGACGTGATTCTGCGGTCACCACGACAGCTTGATCGATAGCTGCCTGGATGCGCGCAGTACACAACTGCTCCACGCGCAAGCCCACATCGGGTGAATTGACGTCTACCTCTGATAACTCATCTTTCAATACCACCTCCTCGAACACGAACCTGCGTACCGAGCGCAATGGCAGTTTAGTCAACTGGAAATGAAAAGACAACACACTCGAGAAAGATGGCGGAATAAGAGGCGAAACAACGAAGGACGCACCTTGAATTCCATGTCTCGAATCTCCAAGAGACCGGCACACTTTTCAACTGCTTCGCCTTCACTCAACGAGGTGGCCACCGAACTTCCCGGTTGGATTACGTAGAAATTGCCCGTACCATTCCACTCTGGCTCAATTCGACAGCTGTGCTCATGTCCCCAAACCACTAGATCGAGAAATGAGGGCAAAAAGTTCTCTGGAAGATATCCAGTGGGTCCATGACGAACTCGGTTCTGATGAATTACCGCGATCGAAAACCACTCGCCCTGGTCCGGTCGAAGAAAGGTGATCTTGTTGTCACGAAAGAGACGATGCAAGCGCTCTTCTCGAATCGCGCCAATTCCATAGATTGCCAAATTGGTAGAACCCTTGCGAAACAAGAGAGGGCTAACTTCCAGTTCCTCCACACTATCGAATTTGCCGAAGAGGTTGATGAAACCACAGGTGTGGAGGAGGTCTGGAGGACAGACGCTGCCAAATCCGCTCGGGTCGTCGTGGTTGCCGTGGATGGCGAAGATGGGGAGGCCAATGTTGAGATTTAAATCGAGGTAGTTGACACCAGGATAGGAAGTGTTGGCGAAGATGAGCGCAGGATTGCTGAGCAGTTCGAATTGAACTGGGCTTTCGTCGAGGCAGTGGGTGCGAAAAAGTCGGAGGACTTCATTCAGACATCGAATGGAGGGACGAACCTCGTGGAAGAGATCGCCACCTTGCAGGATAAAATCAACCTTATGTTCTTGTCCCAAACAGAGAATTTCTTCTAGAGTCTTAAAAGTGTCGCTGCCACGTATTCCATCTTTTTCCATATAGCCCACATGATTGTCGGAGGTCAATAGGATGCGAAATGTGTTGTCTAGACCCTGATCAAAGATGATAAAGTAGTGTTAAGATTGCAAATAATAGATCTCACTAGTTCATACGAATTCAATTTGAAATTAAGAATAGATACATCCATCCAGTCCGTGGTTCAGGGTATGGTGCAAATTCATAAGGGCAGATAAAACATCAATTGCCACAGCAAAGTTTACGTTCTAAATAATAAACTACTGTATTTGGGACAAAACAATGCCCATCTTGGCTTCAGTTAGGCAAACGTGAGTAGAGTCGCACAATACATCACAGAGCATCTAAGACAATATTGCAGTAGAATATCAATACCCGAAAGTAGTGAAATGACTTCAACGTTAATACAACAGAAATAATCACTACCGCCCCACCGCAGAGGCAATTTACAAGGAGCCTAAGGTCTAAGCTAACTTCAAGGTCATGGGCTGCGTTTGTATTCCCGGTAGCAAACAAAATCAGCAGAGAAAAATAGCCAAATGGGTTTCTTCCATACTTTAAATTCTCCAATAATTTTTTATGGCTTGTTTTATTTTATCACCATATTGTCAGCGTGCATGGAGAACACGTCTGGAACCCTACATTTTGAAGTCCATAAAATTGTTTTAACCTTTAATATTTTTAAATATCTTTTTAATAAATTTCGGTAAAGTTTTAAATATAGGAAAACGCAATATTTAACTTTGATAGTGCCTGAGGCCGAAGTTAACCACCATTATCTCCCCCACTTGGAACTTTTGATAAAGAAAGTTTGTGAATTTGAGCACTCATAATGGAACAAGTATGAACAATGCGAAAGTAGTTATCGCACGACAATGGTTAGGCGGTAATTGTGCCCATGCCTAAAGCGCGCGCCCTGGAATCGCTTCAGTTGGTGGTTGGTTAGCCCCTCCTAATGGGTGCAATCAAACGCCCCAGCAAGAAAGCCTACCTCGCGGTGATACCAAACGACCCTTGCGTTGAAACATTTTCCCCCTTTGGGATGACTATGTGTCAGACCCGTCAGAATCTAACCTTAACGACTAGAAGCAGGTACCCCGACCGACTCAAACAGGAGCTTATAATAGAACAATAACTTTGACATTGATCGCCATAAAATCCAATTAAGCAAGGTGGGAAAACCCCATCGGCAGGTGCATGTCAAACACTCCGTCACACACAAACACCCCCAGAAAAGCAAAAAAAGTACCATAGTGCGAACACATTAGAATGCATAGAAAAAAGGCAGATACACAGTCATAAATTAATAACAGATGGAGACACACACAAGCAGACACATCAAGAGATTGACAGAGAACAGATGTCCGAGAGTTAGTTGAAAGCGAAATGGCAATGAACGTGGAGGAGACTAGCAACTGTACAGCTTGTCACCGTCCATTGGCGGTCGAAGCGGAGGCGGTGGTGGCGGGAAGAGGAGTGTGGTCGCAATAGCATGCATCGCACACGCGATTGGGCCAGTCGAGCCCCCGCTGTGGCACCGGCTGGCGGCGGCTTGAGCATCCTGCACAGACGCCTCGCCCGCACGCTCGGCAGTGGTGGATCGATAAACGCGCACCAAAGGCGCCACCGCACAGCACGCATTGCGTACACTCCTCGTCCGGCTGCCAGTAATCTGGTCTCACCGCTGCTTTCACCAGTTCTACATGTACATACAGTTAAAATGTTATGCCCATTCGCTTTCACCTCCTAGAATGGCAGCTACGATTACTACTAGGCTTGACCAAAAAGTAAACGGTGATGAAAAAGAGGAGACGCACGCTTAGGAGTGCTGAAGACAGGAGCAATGTAGCCTGCAGTGGCGGAGAGGAGTTCAAAAACTCGCCGACTGGACGTCCCAGCGGAAGATCTAGGGATATCAGGACTGCCAGAATAACGTGAAGCCATGGCAGTGGAGGCAGAAGAACTACCATTGGAATGGGTCTTCGAAGCGTAGCAGCTGTAATTTGCAGTGGATTAGTCAAATTGAACTGACTAAGGAGTATTGAACTCTTTACACAACGACAAAATGACAGTCCTCTAAAGTACGAGGACCACTATCAAAGTCGATACTTTAGAAAATAATATGAAAATGATTAATGGGGGACATCTTAAAAAGTCACAAAGATAAAGATCACTATCGACTACAGGAGATTGTTTAAAAAACGCTTTAGTGCCAGCTAACCACTCACCGATCGCACACCCGCACAGCCGCTTCCACATACCCGCGATCGGGAACGGGGATACGGTGTTTGGAGCAGCTGTCGCATACCCCACGACCACACGCTCTACAGTGATGCTTCTCTGCGTCGTCTGTAGGCGACACTTTGGCGCCGGCAGTGTCTGCGGAGCATACGGCAGAGGGGGAAGTGTTGAAGGTAGTGGCGTTGGAGCTAGCGGAGGTGGGGAAGAGGTAACCACAACAAGCACAGTTGATGATCTGCGAATTGGGCTGCCAGTAGGCGGGAGCCACAGAGTCTGCAATAAAATCGCTCAAGAGACGCGTCGGTGGGCCGGCCAATTGAGAAACCTGCTCGCTCACGCTAGTAAGACCATCCACCACCAGTTGACCAAATGGATGCGCGCCCTGTAAAAGAACAATGGCATTAAAAATTTAAGCAGCCGGTACACTAATAATTTGTAAAACATAGCAAACAACAGGCCTGGTATAGATTAAGATATAAAAAGGAATTGGAGAGCAGGTAGGTCTGGCAATGTGGGTTCGAGAGAGCGACTGTTGGGGGCAATAGTCATGTGATTGACCTGTAGGAGGGAGGTCTCGCCTGGCCAGAGGTGGACAACCTGCCAATGGATCTGGGGCGAGTCCTCGGGTGGGGGATTGCCGGACCAATGAGCACGACTACGGTACACCACACCGTGATGTGGACAGCTCAGTACGTAGCCCCACCACAGGTACTTCATCACTCCCGTAACCGCATTCTCCCTCTCCTCCAGCGCCTTGGGTACAAGGACTATGGGACGGCCCATCGCGTAGCAGCGCTGCAGGAAGATGAAGAAAGAGCTAACACAAATGCTCTTTGAAAAAAGACTAAGAAAGGGCCCTGTCTACTTCATAGCCAATGGAGCAAACTAGGCTAGTTCATTTAATCAGAAGCACTAAATGACAGGTCACTGAATGTATGCACAATTTTGGCTTCAATACCGCTGCCATGAACATCCCTTCCCCATGACATCAAACCTACTAGATATTACTAGTTCACAAATGCATGCCTAGCAATGTAGCAAACAAGTGCACGAAAAACTACTTCAAAAGGGGCGAAATAAGCTCTCATGAAGGATAGGCTAATCGAAACCAAGACTTGGACGAGGTTGGAAAATTTGTTTTGAAGTAAGAAAGCTGTTGGATCAGGATTTTGGTTAGATTGGAAGAAGTGAAATTGATCAACATTCCAATTTCTGCCGTTGTAACTAATGTGATCCAGGTCCATGGAATTGAGAAAGTAGGTAGTCCGATTACTTGTTCTGGCAACCATTAAGCAGCGAAAGATGATATTTCCCGTTTTTTAACCAGGCTTCAGCCTCGTCTGAGCAAAAAAATGACTTGCACATGAAAAAGTGAATAGTTGGCGAGACGGTTGGTGGGGGGTCAGGCAGGAGGAGCCCTGTGTCACAGCAAGACTGCTTCTTCACCCGCCTAACAGTGAAAGAACCGTCCATTTCGCCTGAGATTGTTAGTCCAGTGTCAAGTTGATAACCATATCAGGTGGAGAGCATGGAGGATGAGAATGACGTGCTATCCCCCTGTCGTTTATCCCAAAGGGCAGTATGAGGTCTCCTTACCGGTAAGTCAAGTGATAGTAAGAGGTCCTGAGTCGTCACCCAAAAGCCAAGGATAGGATTTACCTTCCAATAGCTGGAGGACCGGTCCAACTTCTTTCTAAAAATGAGGGTTTTCTCGAACCCCCTCTTTGACCCAACATCGTTGCAAGACTACGTGAGTTTCATTAGCTCGCCTGGGCATATACTGGGTGAAAAAGGGGCAAATAAAGCATTTACAATCAAGGAGAAGTGACAAGTAAATGCACCACAACAATAATTCATTCTGACAGACGAGGTTATTTCTGATCCCGGACTAATTAGCGGAAACCAGCTATAGCGCAATGAGATCCGTGTTCTTGAAAAACGTGAAGCATTCGATCAGCTAGGCTGAATCGAAGAATTTCTTAATTATCGTCTAATCATTGCTGCTGCTTCTTTCGCTTTCGCCTCGCCCCTCTTTCATGCTTTTTCCCCAGCATTGAAATGCCATCATCTTCACTTGTCATTCGATGATAAGTGGAGGTATTTTGTTTCTAGGTGAGCCATAAACACGACTTTAACATTGGCTGATTTCAATGTGGGACTGGTACTGACTTTGCTGGCCCACTTTTCTGAACACTTCCCATTGTTCCATGACTGAAAACGGGCTATGAATTTGACCGAAGGGTGAAAACACTTTTCTGTATTTGTGACTAACATAGTCGTAGTCTTATTGGCAACAATGGGATACAATCAAGTATTCTTTTATTGAGGTCTTAACTTCGGAAAGTGTACAGTCGATTTGCGAGGTGTTTCAATATCCTTTTCATGCAAAAAGTCGTGCTCAATTACGAGGCATCCCAAGGAATCCAGAAAAGGCATATCAACAATTTTGTAGGTGACTTGTAATGCATTTGGTGCAAATAAGGGCCCTGGTGACCTTAGCCAAGCGCGTAGATACCCTATGGTGGATTAGTCAATCAGATCATGGCATGTTAAGGTCGCAATTTGTCCTTAAAATCTGCCACTACGATGACGCTTAAAACGATTTAAGCTTATTCACCACTTTATATGAAGTCTGTCTCTTGGAAAGTGGGATAATTTTAACAATTTTGTGGCTGCATATATACTAACCACCCTGTAGCCCGTTCCTCAAGAAGACGTAATGACGCATTGAAACTAGTAGAAACTTGTCAAATTTACGCCACCATTTATATGGACACATTAAAGTACCACATTGACATGGTACCCCGTTTTCTAGTCGCTACTCTTTTCCTCTCACCTTGAGCTTTCATACCATTAAGTGTCGATTAACCTTGATGGACGTGTTTCCATCTTGTTTGCTTCACTAATTTCAACTCAATTTCTAAGGCATGCGAACCTCACGTCAAAGTTGTTCTGTAGCATTTGGAAAAAAGTGCAGTGCAGTGATGTTGCCGTTGGTGGTAATGATAATGAGAAAGTTCCCCGAAACCTACGTACTGCAAGGGTTAAGGTGTGAAGTCTACTAAGTAAGTGGATACCACATGGCATGAATTGACGGATGACAGAACTATCAATTTGTTTCTCTCCTTCTCTATCTCCGTTACAGAAACGCACCGCTCACTTTGGAGTGTTTGCTGACTGGCTGAAATGAAATGAGAAATGACCTGTGCCGTTGCATTTAGGTGTACATCAGGCTCAGGCCACCCACTCACCACTTCACACTTCTGAGGGCGTTATCCCCACACTATCCGCCGATATGACCACCCTGGTCACACACAGAGTTTGTGCATGTGTGCAGTAGACTGAAGACGCAATTTTCACTAACTGAAGGTCCGATCCCAATCACGGTTAAGGTTTGTCTACTGCATCCTACTGGCCAACTGGGATGGAAAAGAGGAAGTTACTGACCCATCCTCATAATTAGCATTCTCTCCGCGTTACCTTCCCAAGCTGCAGGTGATGAGTATCACCCTTTCAGGGGATCGGACACAACCATAAGAGCGACGGACAGCTACGGAATAAAATGCTGGTGGAAACGGAGACGACTAGGAGGCACGGACTAAACCGCTCGCTTCGAGAGATAAGACGCTGAAATGGTGAAATTCACAGCCAGCCTGGCAGCAAGTTAATTGAGGTACACTTCCAAAAACAGTTATATACGGACTAACTCACCTTGCAGTAGTAGATTTTATTCTGCAGTAAAGGGGAGTACTCGCATCCGTCTCCTAAGTCGCGAGTACGCGACTGATGCGGCACACCGGTGTGGTTCACGCCCAATTCACATCGCGCATGGCACACGGTGCAGCGGGCGGGACAGGTGAAGTACTCTTGAACAAAGGTCAACGTAGTCGCCGCCGTAGCTGCTGCATCTGGAAGGTCGTTGGCAAAGTGCTGACTCAAGCCCAAAAGCGCGCGGAAGATGTGCTCCAGTCGACGCGGCGCTCGTACCGACGTCTCCAACATTAACTCATCCGCAACGCGCACAAAAGGCTACAAGGAAATTAATAAACGAAAGCAGATTGGACCTTTGCATGTTTGTAGAATCACTCGTCTACGAGTCCTTTAACACATATGTGTAAGATGTCACATAAATGTAGGGCGCCAATTTTCTTATCTGAGTCCAGGCGTCACACATATGCGACACATCAAGTTTGGAAAATAACAAGATTTATAGAAAAAAAAGGAATGGTAAAGTAGTAGAGGTCAAATTGGAACAATAAAGAGCATGAGATGTGCTGGTAGAAGTGCCTCAGAGACTCTGGCACTAACGGTTTTAAAGGTCGCTCAATTCAGACCTCATCGTCATGCCACTGACCCCTCCATTTTCGCAGTGCTTCTGCAAGCTAATGAAAGACCTACTTGCAAACAACTAGTATAGCTAGTAACGCTTCTACAAGCGGTCCCAAAGTGGCCTTTTTGACCGCCCAAGATTGGTAGAAAAAGAAAAGAAAGCGAATTAAAATTGGTTTTTATCTTTCCATGTTTATTGGGTCATTTGGGCTTTTAAGTTTTCTCCACCGCCGTGTTCACATTGTCGTTTAGCAGCTCCACACCTAAGACAGTCAATAGCAATTATCCCAGACCTTCCATAAACCCATCAGAGTCGTTTAGAAACGGCAATCCTTGGTAATGCCTTCAGAAGGAATATGAAAACTTCCCATGGTGCATCAAAAAGAGATTTCCACATAGATTAGTGGGTTAACTATTACACAAAGAAAAGCGCTTGACTCGGAGATTTGAGGTACTGAAACCACTACCTCAAGGATAAAATCAGCAGTTGCGAGCTCTGTGTTTAAAAAGCCCCCTTCTCTAGACACTAACAGTCCTTTCCCAACTGCTTCTGGTTCTAATCCACTCCCATTTCACAAATGGTTATTTAGCAAGTAATTGTCCACATGATACCAAGAAAAGGTGAGAATATTGCAGGGACAAGGCAGTAACATCCTCCTCCTCGTCCTAAAGTATGGTATGAGGTCTTGGGGTATCTTGCAACACAAATAAGGTGACGTGCCTCCCTTCCATTGCTGTCTGCATCGAGCAGGCAAGTGGTAATTGATATTTGGCCTTCAGCAGTGGACTCCACAAACAAGCTGATAGGTTACGAGATTATACGGAAGACCGTATGAGCCTTTGTTCACATGACCACCAGACAGCGATCACTTACGCAATCATCTTTAAATGGAAAAATCGTTCATTGAGTAAATCATAACACCTGTATAGTGGTTTTAATATACAACAGTGGAAGAGGATTTCGAGAAAGACTGGTGTAGGTATCCCTTACACCGCTTTATTATGAACGACCGGTGGTGGGGACAACTTCAATACGAACACGCACGTGGGCGGTGTCCGGACTCAAGAAAACCAAATGGGATGGTCGTGACCACTAGACTATATATGACTAATCAAGAGGTGGTAGGATTGGCCATCATCCCCTGATTTTGCCCCAATATCGTTAGGTCATTTTGAATCACATGGCAGCTGCTGTGAGACATTAGAAAGGACAAGAATGACGTGGAAAACAAGGCCAAGGGGAAGGAGAGGTGTCACGCCTAGCAATGATTATTGTTTCCGACCCTCCCACTTCCATCGTCGTCCGCCCCAATAACCCCTTTGTGTGTTTAAAGCTCCAATAAAAGTTCAGTCATGAAATCTGAAGGATCTACGCAGGTTTTTGTAAATTGGATGGATTTTTGCACAAAATGATCCACACTCAGGTCACCTCGTCTTTAGCGATGGGTTCAGCTTCCTTAATAAATCACACACTCCAAAATAAGTGCTATTAAAAATAGACTAAATTTATTTGGCTATCATAAAAGAGGAATAATTGACAGAGCCACAAGATACGTATGAAGACAAACGGAAAGTAGGGGAGGAGGAAGGAATGGAGCAAGAAATTCAAGAGTTCATATCACCAGCCACATCCAGTTGATTAGGGAAAACACTGCTAGTTAGAAACATAACTCCTCAAAGTGATGCCAAATTAATTCGAAAATAAAAGCTTCCTTCCTTTAAAACAAAATGAAACAGATAAGGTCTTCATTACAATAACATTTTCTAATAGCATAAACAACGACACTTGCTGTCATGAGAGAACGCAGATCTCCACTTTCAAGAAGCCACCTACCCCTCTGAAACACGTCACGGGGTATAAAGGTTGGGACCGATGTTTAACAAGAGAGGCTGATATAGATAATTATTAAGGCCTCCAGTCAACATGGAAAGTGCCTGAAGGACAATTTGGTAGCAAAGGCAGAAGCTTAACTACCCATCCATTATGAGCACACTCCACTTCTCCCATTATTCCCGCATTAGATACAAACATGCATACCACTAGCGTCCATCTTAACACCATGGTGATGGGCGTCATTAATAATTTGCAGGAGCGACCAATTGGTTGAAGAGGAGATTAATCACACGACACGTTTCATTACTATTTCACCTACTGTTCTTCCGGCCTACTTAAGGTTTCCAGTGGAGAAGCAGAGGCGAGAAAACATCCAAAGTGTCACACCCGTTTTGATTTGAAATGAGATGTTCGCAGACGCGGTGCGAAATCCGCAGGTTACGTCACGCCGGCGAGAAGGTTACCAACTTGCTGGCAGTTTTAACCATACGGCAGGAGTCATGAAAGCCGGAAAAGGCTCAATTGTTCAATCCGAAGGTCTTCAGGCATTATACTAGCCTCCTTCTTGCCTCACAATTGTACGTAAAGTTTCCCTTTTGCTTTTGCGACGGACGTCATGAGGAAGATACTGCTGAAAGTGTGGTAGGAGTGCGCACCAGTAGGTCGCCTCCGGTGGAACTTGAAGAAGAGCTCTTTCAATATTACAAACTCATTTAAGGAAGGAATTAAACACGCAACACTTCGCCACTAACTCACAACGACGACTAAACGGTTTTTTGTTGGATTTAAGTTACTATCCGGACTTCCAGATGGGTGAAGAATATGAGGACATGGTTGTCTAGGCGGACATTGATGTGAGCGACAAAAGCAAGATGATAGTTTGGGTTAACAACTCACACTGAAATTCGTGGATCCCGAGGCGGTCTGAATTCCAACGTAGCGAAGATTGGAAAAGGCGTCCACATTACGATGGATACTAGCAAACCTCTTCTTCAAAAAGGCAGTTCCTGTGGAGTAAAAATGGATGAAACATCTTGACATTTAGATGTTTGTGAAGAAGAATTAACTGACAACACTTGAACTATTCATTTTTTCCCATCCTTTATAAAAAAGGGAAGAGCCCAGTGATTTCTCTTTGGAGGAGCAAAACCACGAAGCGGTCCTCGATTCGTTCCTCTGCTAACCATTGTCAACGAACGTTGTTAAGACTGGGAGTCAAGTATTACCTATGCGAAGGGGAATGGATCGAAGTCTTTAAAAGAGATATCAAAACGAGTCAAACAAATACGCACTTTGGACAGCTTTTGACTGCGAAGTGGGAAAACCACAAAAATGAGCGCACATACATGGACAGATGCATCCGCCAGTACGTTCCAAGTACGTTTTGCAGACCTTTGATGAATAAACTACCTGACAATAACCTTTGACAGGTTGAGTGACCGTAATATTGAGTTGATTCATGAAATTCACGAAATCTCACCTGCTTTTGACTCCTCTTAGCTATTTAAAGGGCAGCCAAATAAGTTCAGTTCTAGAAAAAACACCTCCTAGCTATCTCTACGATTCTGCCGCACACTCGTTTGCCAACTGCCCCGTCCGTCAAGGGAAGACGATAATCATCACTTGGGCCCTAGAGAAACACAAAGAAGGCAACACATAAGACCAGCATGAGGCGGTGTCTCCCTCTAATTCGCCTTACGGCTAATTTTTGCGGCCACATGAGGTCACTCGGCTTCGTGTGAGAAAAGAACCTTCATTTAACACAACGAAAAGCCCCGGACAGTCTTCTAGAACTACTATACCCTCAAAAACCGAGGCTAGGCATTGCCTAAAAGCGTGTCAACTTTATAGTCAATCAACTTTTCCCAGGCAAAACGCTAACTTCTTATCGTGCAGTGCGGGAGTTGGGAAAGCAAAATCCGTAAAACCGATAAATGTGGGTTAATTACGAAGCAATATAGCCTTCAACCCAAAGGTTAGCAAAATGGGCGGTGATTTTGCCTCATTGCAAAAACAGCTCAAGGCTGGGAGTTAGCCAACTTCCACATGAAAAGGGCAGGATTCAGATAATGCAGCAGTGGGAGAAAAAAATAACAAACTTGGTTAATTATACCACAAAGTGATACCCTGGCACTTGCAAATAAGCCAAGGGCTAATTAAAGGTGTTGAGGATAATGTGTTAACCGGCCTGAGCAGAATTTCAATAAAGGGAGAAGTTAACTACAAGGCGACGAGCAAGTGATATTTAGGACTTCAGGATGAAAAAAAGCTTCTTTCCATTAGAGGGTCATCAAAACTGAGAGATCGGATTGGGCCGAATGCTGTCAAACAATCGAGAAGTTGATATTACAAAGACAGCAAATCGAAACTGATCCATGAATCAGTAAAACTCGGTAATGTGAATCATTCGACATTAATAGATCGCCCTAGGAGAGAAACAAACAAGCAGAAAGCAATTCGTGTGTCCAAATGGGAGGTGACACGCTCACAATCGGAGGATAAACCGCGGGAACAATAAATTACCCGAAATCCGAATGCCAAGATAAGAACGTCAGAGATGTAAAGTGTCCAAGAAATGTGTAAGTCGAATTGTCAAGCCATCATTATGAACGTAGTTCCTACCTTCAAGTACACAGAGGGACGCTGCAAGTCAACTAGAAAACAACTCTTCGGAAAAGTTAAACGGTGATGTCAAAACCCCCCAAATCCTCTGGGTCCGAATGCTACCATAAATTGCGCGAGGTGCTTTGAGGTCACATTGATGAAACAGCAGGGAATTTGACCCCTAAAACAACTCAAGTGCTACCAGAGCCAGATACCAGGTAATTCTGGAACTTCGCAAACCGCTTTGACGCTGTAATACAAGAAAACCTTTGCAGTTTTCGATCAAAAGGTTTGAAAGAAGAGTCCACCTAGCGTACGTGAATTATCAGTTACAAACCACCGACCCTGTGAAGAACATGAGCCAAATTCCTACCTTTTAGTGCATCCAAAAAGCACCCAGAGCAGCTTACAAGTGGAGATTAACGGCTATTCGACTAGAGATTGCCATTCACGTAAATATTTAGCTATGTCGATGAGGGACATGTACTACCTAATGCAGGTCTACTAAAATTTTCGAACGCACTGAACTGGACTTCGATTTCTAACTATAGAAGAATCACCTCAAGACAAAAATTAGTGAGGGAATAAGAACCGTTAATTATCTCAATCCTCATTACTTTAAAAAAAGATGCGATCCGGTGACAGAATGACCTAACATCCTACACAACACAAAAAGTCAGATTTGTCAAGTATTTGGAAGCTTACTGCTTCATAAAGGTCAAAAGGCGTTATTATTCAACGACTGAACACCCTAAATGCAGATACTACCTTCAGTGGCACAGATGAAACAACTGGTCAGAAAAGCCAGATGGTGTAGGACGATTAGGCCCCAAGATCCTGGACAAGTGGGAAAAAATGCTCAACATCATGACACAGGTAGGTACCTGTAGTTAAAGGAAAGACCAAATCATTCCGAGATAAGGATCGACATTCAACGTTTAAAAGATGACAGTATTATCAGCTTTCGAAAGGTGCTTCTTCCACTTGAATGCAACCAAACCGCCTGAAGTCAACCAGGGGCCACCTCAAGCTGCCGATCAACGAAAACGCGGAAAGCAACCACTTGGATCACTTGGAAATCCAGAACTCTAAATAAGTCAGGTACTCAGAACTCAAGTCGAGCAAATAAAAGTCCCTTCAAAGTACGGCTAAACGAAGGCTCAAAATAAGAAGTAGATACAATTGGACTCACGACGAGGACGCCCGCACTTTGAGAACCAAGGAAAGTTGGGCACCTCTGCGTTAGAGTGGCAGAAGAGAGATGTCGAAATAGAAATGAATCTACTCACCATCCGCATCATCAACAAGAGGAAGAGTGTGGCGGGTCTCCTGGAAGATGAGAACCGCAGGACCGAGTTGGCGAGCGGACCAAGGGAGTTCGTACTGCTGAGCCAGGGCCTCCAGGTGAGGCTGGAAGTGACGAACAAAGGCGTCCGAGGCATCCGCCAGGAAAGTGAACATGTCCGTATGTAGGCGATCAGACATGGATCGGTACACCACTACGTCAGCCACCGCGAATACTTTCAACAACAGCCGACGCTGACGGTTAGGGTTTGCAGAGGTACCCAAAAGGCCTGGATAGAGACAAGGTTGAGTGCAAAAGAGCGTGGATTATGATGGGGTAATTTCGCAAAATTTCCTGCTAATATTACAAGAGGGTGACGATCCCATTATTTTGGGCCCTCATGTCACGCATGTGACGTAGTACTAACCAATCCATGAAAACCAGTCGAATAGAATCGTGGCCCAAATCAATTGGTTACGTGCGAAACAGCCAACTAACCCGGCGCAGATTGCTTCGGTCGCCCTCATTTAATGTTGGAGGCGGTCGAATTGATCAATTCAGCAGAGGAGATGATTATGTTATAGTACAGAACCTGGGTCACGGTTGCTGACTTCTTCCGAAACTCCGTTAAGGCACGCGTGAGTAACCAATGTGATTTATATTGGATAGCCGTAAAAGACACAACATACAATGGTTTTGGCACTAACGACTCGACAACATCCTGAGGGATAGTCTTGGCAGACTTTCTAAAGATCACATCTAGTCACTGCGATTGTACTGGATAATAGCATAAGGAATGTAGAGTGCGCAAAACATGGTGTGAATTAGGATACCATAACGCGCGCTGATTTACCGTTTAGACTAACACATTTCAGGCCTCCATAAGTCAGGCGTCAGTAGGGGACGCAGGCACACCTATAATTTTTTTCCCGTGCATTTAGAACTTAGTTCGAATACGTTGATAGCCTTGTCCATGAAATATCTCAATAACAGCAAATGCGTCATCACACTCTTATTGGTTTCAGCACAAATGTGAATCACTTTCCAACCACAAACCTACAGACAGTTAGGCCATAACAAAATGAAATGAGGGTGCATGTCTATTCCAGGAAGACTCGAGTTTGAAGAAGAAAAACATTACTGAAGGTGGTTCTAGTAAGTCAAAACATCAGCATTCCGAATGCGATAAATCAAAGTAGCGAAACGTACAGTCCTGTCCACTAACTATTTTATATCGTAAAAACTAAGAGCAAAACAGGAAAGTAGCGATAACTTACCATGACCAAATCTCGGAAAAAGTCAAGAGAGGTTCCCAAATACCCCATTCAGGAACATTGGCATCCATAGAAAAAGGCTGCTTAATTATCAAGAGGAAAAAATCTTCTGTGGAACTATACTGGTTCTACACTTTGTTCCCAAGATAAGGCTTCAAGTCAAAGTATCATAGTTCCTTAATTGCCTTAGCGGAGCCAAACTTTTGAGGCTGGTTGACACACTTCTCTGAGATGTTTATTTGCAGAAAAAAACAGCAGTATAGAATTTCAAGCCATATGATTAGAGCGGGACTTTTACTTGTCTAACCAAAGTGATTTAGATGGTCTTTTAGTCTAGTGAAAATGATATGCCAAAAATAGTTTTTTGGCCAAAAAGGAGTGTGACTAAAGTAGAGGCGAGTATGTGTGTGTTTGCACTCAACAGACAATTACCCATGTTTCAACAACGACTAAATAATAATACGGTAAGCTAAGCAGAGGCCGATCGGAGCAGTTAATAATGCTGAATTATCAAAGTACCATTTTTGCTGCAGTACTAAAAGAAAACGGTCAAGTGGGTGCAACGAAAGACGGAGAAGCATCAGAAAAAAAATAATGGGATGTAAATTACGAAAGGTCTCTGCGGAACAGGTTGTTGCACACCGAGAGGCAGGAGGATGTGTCTACGGGTTCGTGAGTTATTAGAATAAAATGTACATCCCCACGAAGCAATATGAAGACGGACACACCTAACGGTTAAACCAAAATAGAAAGTGCTGCTAATAAAAAATGTCATCAGTCGGGGGCTCACCAATGAAAAAAAAGTGCATTTCGGGCAAGGGTTTACGTCTAATCGAATATCGGATTCTGGAACTGTCAGCACTCTCTCAGACACAAGTGCACAGAGAGGACGCGAAATTGAAACAATTACGCAAAGTCAACCAAACACCCACCTTCAGTGTCGAGAAGAAGATAACCACGCTGTGGCTCGAAAGCAGCCCAAACTCCGAGTGTACAGTTGGATTGAGATGAGGAGGTAAAGAAAACATCCTCTGCACCATCACCAGCACCTTCAAGGCAAAATGCGCGATTCAGGGTGTGTGATTTTCCATCCCCCGTGTTACCCACGATGGCTAAGGTCTTAAGCTTCATTTCTGGCGGACAGCCAAGGGCGTGAGCTAGGGCGACCGAATCATCAAACTGGAAAAGAAGTGAAAACCATGAAATATCACTGCAAAAAAAAGATGCCTTATTAAAAAAGCAAATCTACCAAGAAATTTTCATTTGCATCGATGATTTTAACGGATTTAGGGGGTGTAACAACATGTTCAGAAGGGGATTCCTTCATCAAGGCATCTTGGTCCGGGTCTGGTAGAGCACAAGTCATCTAAGGCAAAACAAAGAAGTCAAAAGTGGTCGAATAAACTAAAAAAAGAAGTGAGACGAAAAGTGAGTACAAAGTAAAGGAGGTCTGGTACGAAGAAGTTCAACTCGGAAATACGCTTTAAAGATGATTCAATCAAAGCACTCACCCACAAGAACTAAACAATAAAATTATGGCATAATATAATGGGAAAAGATAGGAAGAATTTGGGACTGAAAATGGCTCAGGAAAGCCATAATTAAGAAGCTAGCAGAGGTTTCACCATCCATGTAACATCCTAAAAGCCAATTGCATTGAACCAATCCTTTAAACTCGGATTCAGAGGCCAAACTTCCCACACGAAACTAAAAAACCAGTTGTGACCTGGCATTATATAATTAATATGAATCAAAAACAAATGAAGAAGGCATGCACAACATTCCATGTATCCAACAAACTCCTAACGTGTAAACTCCGATAAACAAAACTAGGGCAGAATAATTCGCGCTTCCGCGAGGCATTGGCAGATGCAATGAAGGAGAGCACCTCCATTCAGAACAGCAAGCTCAATCAACTTTGCAGCACTTTACATAACCCCCTTTAATTCATAGTATGCTAAAACAATAAAATGTAAGTAATGAGTCAGAAAGTTAGTGCTTTTGGCAACCCTAAAATGTTTATCAAAAAAAAAGTTTTTGGTTTTTTTTTTACAGAAAAGCATTTTACTGTAAGGATTTAAAAAAGTTAAAAGGAAATGTCAGGATTGTAAAAAAATTGTTAAAGGAGTCACGCTTATTGTAATTTGTAAAAGTAAACCCCTTCTATGTGCAGCTGAACAGCAAATTCCCGATTATGTCAAGGATAATTGCATACTTTAATGATTGTTTGTCAAACCGTTTTTCTAAAACAGTCAATTTTTCCAGTTATTAATTACCGCCTATGAAAACTTTTTAAATTATTTGCATGCACCAACCGTCATCGAAAAAAGCATACATATAAGAAGCGCGGATACCTCATGTTATAGGATTACCACAATTTAGCTCTCGAATTTCGCACTCGTTCGTGTCCACGGTTTTCAAGGTGTCATATTGAAGCATGTTTATTCTATACGATTAGTCAAGCCGAATTCTTACGTCTAGATGGCATAGTGGTTTGAAGCGAAGAGATGACTCGTTCCTGTACTTCAAATTTGAATGCGGCAAATTGCCTGATATTTGCACCAAAAAGATGGAACAATTTTTATATCTCTGAAAAAAGTGTTAGCATTGTGCTGCATTGGCTAGTTTTATCACCTTTTTACCCAAAAAAGAGGGAGACCTCTTCCCCCTATCTCCTTATTCAGTGGATGAGGACAAAAACAGGGTGGGAAGGGCTAAAATAGGATAATGAACTAATGGAAAATTTTCAAGGAGTAAAAGTAGGACCATTTTCGGTCAACTGAATGGAGGCACGCAACTGTCGAGAGGTATCGCTCTCTGCCAAAGCACATGCATTGGCCCACATTGTAGTAGACGAAACTCTTCATGACATTTGCCGTGGTGTTTCTGTGGTGGATTTGGACCAATCCCAAGTCTTCCTGTGATTCTTCCAATCGACATAATTGAGCTTTTTGTTGATGCTAATATTGATATTAATTATGCCTATTTATAACTATAGCAATGGGAAGCAGAGGAGTCACAGGAGCACAGAGGTACTGCCTCGAGGCAATCCTCTCCCTGCAGAGAGTCGAAACACCACCCCAATTGCCTCTAGACGACGCCTGCACCGATCAACTAGTCGGGAAAATCGACTGCCCTCGTGGCGAGGTTGGATTCGATTGGTGAAACCGAATCCTACCGACTCGTTTGGAATCGGTCTCTCCAAGGGCCTGTCTTCTAGGGGCATCTACGTCTCCGCAATTAGGCCCGGATCCGTTGCCTACACCTCTGGGCTGCTACAAATCTATGATCGGATCCTCAAGGTAGGATGACAACTGTCAAACATCAATAAATAAAACACTGTTGTCAAGTCACCAATTACTGAAAAATATTTAAATATAAAGAACCCCGAAATATTTATTATCAGGTATAAAAGATCAATCCTTGTCACCAACTGTCCTGGAAATAAGAAAAAAAGTGATTTTGAATAATTTTATTCGTAAAAAATTTTTCCTTTTGATTAGCAATTGTCAAAAGTAAAGAAGAAGTATGTTGTTGAAGATCTTGATGGCTTTCAACCACCTTGAAATATGGAGACACGCACGACTGGTAGCCATGCCATTCAAATCAGAAGGGGAGAAGGCGAGCCAATTTCTAGGGGCAATGTAGTGACAAGGTATTCGATTCCCTCCTCCTGTGCCCGAACTCTGTGGAAGCACTTTTCCCAGACAACTTTCCCTATCTAACATTTGACAAGCTTTTTTCACCTCTGGAAGTAGTCTGTCATATTATTTGTGTAACCTTGAAGGGAATGCAAAGGTATGCCACAAATTCCTTTTCAAAAGGTCAACATGGCATTTAGCGCGGAAAAAAGTAAAATTAGCCATTAAATAGTTACCAGTGCCTTCTTCATCATCGGTAGTTACACAAAACATGGGAATTGGGCCAATTTTTCATTGAGTGAAAAAGGAAAAAATCAGGAGGTGAGGCTGATCCGCCATGTCTGTCTAATCCATTTTGGCGATAAGTATATCCCTGTCAGAAGCAAGTAACAGTGACCCATTCCACAAGGCAAGACCATCTATCTTAGAAAATGAGGGTATGTCCTCCTTCAAGCAATCCGTTTGTTGTGTAACTTAGTGCAACCAGATATATCCACCTCCGTCACATATATGTGACGCAGGAGCTGAAATAGGAGCGTCACGTGTGCATAACACTCGTAATTAGTGAAGTTCTTTGGCAATTTGTCTTGAGGTTAGGTAAAGCGACTTCCCCTGGAGAGTTCCAATGCATTCAGTTATACCAATTAACACATTTTCTTTACTTGCAGCCTACCTGTGACCATTCTCCACAACTTTCCAGGTGCCACACAAATTTGGCACCGTGGGTGTAACATTTGATCCCAATGATGCTGGGATATAATTCTCTCGATGTGTTGCACTATCCAGACCTGAAATAGACACGCCTTGTTGATGATTTTCTGGAAGACCACTGATTCGGTAACTTTGTTGCCATCCTCCTTCCCCTCCTCACTTCTTCTCCTTCCTTCGCCTTCTTGTTTTTTCCTTTACTTCTTCTTCTAGAAGCGGTGCCTGGACAGGCAGTAGACATTTGTTAAATGGAAACATAAAATCTGACAATATTCACATTATTTTGGGGCATAGATTTGTTCATCCCGTCGCTTTTATGTCCGCTTTCCAACCCCTAATTCTGACCGAACTTTCTAGGCCAAATTCAAATTGGAAGATCTTTCCAGTAAGTTTTATTCTGAGGAAGGAAAAGGGACAGGAGGGCAGGGGAATGGGGGAGTGAAGGATTCAATCTTTTTTTACAGATAATAGAAAGGAGAGTTCAACTTTTTCTTCCCTTCCCACCCTATTGCCCTGGCGGAGGGCAGAGAAATGGAATGAGGGGGGAGTCGGGGAGGGAAAGGGGGAGGGATAAGTGGATTCAACACTTGCACAGTGGATAGAAAGGATTCGTTTTGGTTTTTTTTGTACCTACCGGTGGAGATATGGAATTTAAATCAAAGCAACATGAAATGGGCTTAAATCACGCTAATTCCATGGTCATGGAAATGACATTATCTGGCGCATTTCGAGGTGGTGTCTGTGGTAGGTCCCTCACATCTAACAATGTCACTCAGCTGTAAGAAGTTACTTGTCTTTATTGTTTAGATTTTTAGCTTTTATTAGACTGTTGCGGAGTCAATCAACAAAGCTTGAACCATTTGTTTTTTTTCTCAGGTCAATGAAACGTCGACAAAAGGTCGAACTTGTCGAGAGGTCGTGGCGTTAATTAGACGATCCAGTCCAGTGTTGGATCTATTCGTCTACAGACGTTATTAAAGCGATTCCGCCTTATAAATACACCCCTCTACCGCCCTCCCGCTCTTCGACTTTGACCCTTATCCTCTCTCTCTCTCCACCGTCTGCTACTTAGATACACTTGCACACACTGAGTGACAGACAGGCAGATGGACAGACATAAACACGCTCAAGCTATTCATTCCTTCGTTCTGATTTATGACCCAAACGCCTGCCCTCAGTCCACATTGTAGTCTTTCATTAAAACTTAACCTCCTCTATCTTACCCTCCTCTCCTCTACCACCTCCTCTTTTATTGTCCTAATTTACCAATTCAGTGGCCTTAGTGGAGAAACGTGACAAATCATGCCCCTAGGTCTTGATGTTGTACCTCTCCGACACCCCCTCCTTCCTCCTTTCCTTCGCTTTATCAACTTCACTCTTTTTATCCTCACGCAAAATGCACATGTGCCTCGATCTACTAACCAACCACCTAGTCACCAAACTTTGAAGGGCGCATTTATCTAATATACAGATATGCGGACTACAAATTGATGCTTTTACAATTAAACAGGCTTGAGGTAACCTTGTACACTGACTATGCCTTCCGTCAAGTAAACACCAGGTTTTAAAGAGAACCCCGGGCGTCTGAGTCATTTCCGCAGATGGTACTGCGCCAACCGAACCGGAAAGACCGAGTTTGCGAAGTTAACTGTCCAGTGGGTTGAAGTAAGGCAGCTGATGACTTTGTAGCTATTTCGCTCTGTTACAAATCGTCCCATCAAGGTGTTTGCAGGTGTCAAAAGAAGTAAGTCAACTGAATTCTACTCGGGGCGGTCACTGCTCTTCCAGTGAGTGTGATCGGTGTTTAGGTGACCTCGCCCCCCTCCCCGTCTCCCCCTCTCCTAAGGCGTTTTAGTTGTGCGATTGGGATTAAGGCCAGAGAGACGGTGGAATGTGTGTATGTATGCGGAATGGTGGTGTCATTTGCCTGCGGAGGAAGGGAACTTTTGGTTTGGGAAAGAATGGTGCCCACACACAAACACACAAACCAATGCATACGTACATGTGAAGGCGCGTACGGAGGGAAGAGGACCGCGCCACCACTATCGATTGCCCTGGTCTGGTATGTCTGTTTATTTCCTCTGCAAAGTGACACTGTGTAAACGCGTGCCTCGGTGCCGCCTCCACACGTGTTCATATCCGCCCACCTACCCATCTACCCACTTCTTCGGCAGCTGCTTATTATTTAAGAGGCTATCGGAAATCCTCCCTAATTTATGATTTCGCCTTTTTCTCTAGATTAACACAGCCTTTTGAGTCGTATTAAGGTGCAAGAGACCTGCACTTGTTTTAATTGTGTGTTTAGGCACGTGGGTTATTCAACAGCAGAGGCCTATACGCCTGATTATAGGCTCCCAGCTCTAACAGAATCAGGGCACATCCTGAGACACACAGCAAAGGGGTACTCGAAGCCACCTTTGCACCTAACAGACACCTTAGTCTAGTGATCTGTAGGAGGACAATTATCAAATGAAGTGTCAACGTCAAGTGAGGGGTCGTTGTGCCGCCTTAATGAAGATATACGATGCCTCGACTACATTTCTTAAAGCGGATTCGTTGCAGAGCATCTTTCAGCCTTGTTATGATTTCAGAATGCTAGACAACTTAGCTAAGTTGAGAGTTACTATGGTATATGTCTATAGTACGCGTCAGTGATTAATATCTTTGAGACACGTCTACTGAGTGAATAGGGTTTAGAGTAACTAGCGCGTTTATCCGGATATCCCTTTCGGGATTTATAGACACACCAAGCGGAAGCGATAAAACTTTTTTTGATTCAAGCTGTCGAGATCACACTGTAGGCACACTGATCCTTCTTCAAAATGCCCTCCAAGTTTAGACCACGTGACCCCCTTGAAGAAAAACATGTGATCACTGTGGCATGCAGGCTTAGGCGATGGCAAGCAAAAGCGCCTAACAAGAGAAAGCAATTGCTTCGAATAATTAATGATGTACAAACTTGCCAGCTTTAACTATTTTTTTTCCGGAATATTTCTTTTCAATCACATGCAACTATAAAGAGGTGAAATATAGATATTTCTTCTTCGAAGAGAGAAGGTTGTTCTTTTATAAAAAAAGTTGGCAATATCTCTAAGAGAAGGACAACACTATCGATGCGTTTCTATGTACGGTGCTGTGAGAGTCTATTGAAACTGGCGGAAGTAGCATATGAACAAATGTGAAAACAAATCATATTCTCAGAAGCAAATGTGTTTAACATGAGGGTGAAAGAAGTTACGCAAAACTAAGGTGGTTCCTCTGTCAAAACAAAGATTACAGGCATATTAATTCGATGTTTTTTTTTGACTGTGTTCAACGGCGCAGGATCTTCAGACAGAACAAGGTGTACCTTCGCTCTATGACATGGCCATCTGGATGTACCGTCGGTACTCCGGCTACTTTCAACTTTCAACTTCAGGACAATCGCTCAGGCGCTACACTAGCGGTGACAACAGGAAAACTAGGTCCAAAGGGATAACTACCAATTATCTGGTTTTGAAATCACAAAGGAAAGATGATCCTGACCAATTAACTTAAACTGAGGTGTAATGTTGACAGGTGGCCTAACATCACGCGTATTTAGAAGACAAACTAGTTACTGAAAGGCTAGTAAACCTGAACAGTTTTGAGAGGGCCCTTGTGGAGACGTCCACTGTACTCCCAACTGGACAAAAGATAAAGCGACTGTATTCCTACTAGCTGTGTCGAAGTGACAGCGAAACGGTAGGAAGGAATAAATACGGAATGGCAACAACATGAAGGTCCTTTAAAGGTGTCAAAACTAATGCGTCAAAAGCAAAAGGTAGAAATGCAAAGTGCACACGCTGTAGAACGCCTGAGCAGTATGAAGTGATTTAGTCCTAGGTCCCCTCAGCATAGTTTACAGAGCCGATAAATCTCTGAATACGATGGAATTGACAAGGTATATCATCGACGAAGGAGAGGAAAGACATTATTTCTGCCCCGCAAGCTACTGACTGCTATGACTGCGATGACTGAGTCTTCCTCATAGTCGAGAGAATTTGTAGTGGTTTGGCAGAAAATACATTGCTCACGCAAAAAATGGCTTACAGCCTACTGGCATGACCCGGGGGCCATGGTGCTGGGCATGAATAAAATCTGCAGAAAAGTAGATTCAAACTTTATTGAATGTAAAGCTAATCGAACTGCCATAATTTTGCAGATATATATATATGTATGTGTATTAGCACAATACATGAATGGACTGTGACAGCGCTATTTATGTCGTAATTCAGCAACGCCTGGCAAGGGAGCAACAAAAGTTAAAAAACCTATAATTTTGTCGTTTAATATGGTTTAAAAAGTCAGACTCTCAGCCATCAACCACTACAGGTAAAATGAATTGAATGCATTCTTCAGTGCACCGCGGACTTCAAATTATCCGCGGTGCTGCTTCTTGAGATGGGCGCGAGCTATTCTCATGTATTTGAGACCTACAGGGATCCTGATTCCGTACCAAATGTTACGAAACCACCTACTCACGATCCCTTGAAAGGATTTCCACGGGGTCGGAAGAAACGTGAACTTATTGTAAGCAGATTTTAGCTAGCACTCCGTTCTTATGCCTCGATCCTAACAATCACAGCTATATGTCAGTATAGTTTTGTACAGTTTTATGGCTGCAATCTATTGTTTTATTGTTTTTTTTTGTGCCAATTTTCTCACTGCTTGGATATTGTGGCAATCAAGTCTAAGTGCTAATTTTTAGGTATAATTTGTTGTGCTCAATAGTAGGTTCCTCCACAATGATCCTTGCGTAAATCTGGGATAGACAATACCAGTAGAAGCGCCTCTTGCGTTTCATCACTACCACTATCTAGTTAGGTAATTTCAAATTGCAAGTTTTGCCATAGATGGCAATATCACCTTGATGGCACTTGCGACTTCTATTGTTTGATCCCATACTGCTACTTTCATGTGTCTCCAGCTCTCTTCGTTTTGTTTCACAGTCGGAGCTACTGGCCCGGGTTTTCCCGAAAAGTAGTTGGTAGAAAACGCAATAACTCCCATCCCACAATTCCCCTTCAATGGACTTCTGTGATCTTATGATCCGCCCTAGTTACGAAGTTAGGCAGTGCAGTTATTCCTCCGTCATCTTGAACATCTAATCAACACTTAATTGGGTTAAGCCCCCCGCACAGCTTATTACTGTTCCATTTCAGGTCACAGAGGAAGAAATGATCGCAGCCGGTCTGACTTCAAAAGAACGCGACTACTGCGCACCGATGCTGATGGCATTGCGCAAATGCAGAGTCGAAAGGGGCGTCCTATCTCCGCTTTTCTGTGGACATTTTCGTCACGGCTACCTAGAGTGTCAAACCAAAGATCAAATCTTGCGAATGAAGGAGTACGAGAGAGAGTACCGTCTTATGAAAAAGGAGCAAACCGCTTCTTAATATTCATCTGTATTAGTCCCTAGCCGTTTGAAAAGAAAATAGATGTACGAAAGCAACAGCATTTCTTAACACCCAAAAGCAGGAATGAGTAGAAAGTTTTCTATAATAGTACAAACTTGGTAGAATGAGGGACTGAAGAAAAGGCATTGCCTCAAGTGCACTGTTCACTTCTCGGTGGGACTGGCTTTAGTTCGCAAGCATCCACGTTTTTAAGAAGAAAGTACAAATCAGCAAAGAAGACGAAGAGAGCAAGAGTAAAGCCACAAGAGATTCTCTGTACAGGATTGGCATGGCTCTGTCCAACCATGTCACTTAGGAAGTAACCGAAGACGAAGGAACCAATAACGACAAGCACGAAGTTGATTATCATCGTAACCTGCCGTTTCATGCACTGGACACCGTCGAATTCGGAAGCTTTGTATCTGGCTGTGACCCCGAGAGGAGGAAGGTGGCTAGTCATGCGGCCGTACTCCATGTTGGCAAACTTCTGAGTTAGACTTTCCACCCGTTGTTGGACAACTATGCTCCTGGGCGGAACATAAGGTTCGGGGAAAACGATTCCAGAGGATCGCACAAGTTTCCAAAGTGGTGGCAGGTTAAACAAACCTAAGGCTTCCATGTTTTCATGGGCTTCTCGAACCTGTGAAAACTTTATAGTTTTTGCGTCCTTAGGAATTTGTTCTATTTGGTTCTTCAAATGGGATGCCAGGTCGTTACAGGAGGTGGCCCGCCTTAAGAAGGAGGAAATACCTTCTGTCACTCGAAGATCAATGTGAGCAAATGGATCCTCTTCCATGTCGACTACAGAATGATCAGAGCAAATAGCATACGTTGGCGCCCGACGAGCTGATGATGCACCAACAGGCGGGTTTACAGCAGAGGCTCAGCTGATAACCTTGACAATAGCGTAATTAGACGAACATCCAATTGGTCCTAAAAGCGAAAACATGTAAACTTTTTTAGAAAATCGCTTCTATAAATTTTTAAAAGCGCTTTTTTTACCAATGATTTAGGCTCTCAAATTACTAAAGCAAACAGAAGAATTTAAAAGTTGCCTTGGCTTCGAGGTTGGTTCTTTCTGTTTTTTGGCTATCGATTTCACTCATTGAAAATGTATCGAATCACGTGGATTTTGCTTATTCTTTATCGTCGTCTTCAAAACTATGTAGAATTTGGACCCGGGCCATGCATAGTAAATGAATGATGCTAATTCATGTTTATTGATACACAGGTGGTGCACACAGTGAATACGTAATATATTGGTTAACTGTCGGACTTAGCAACAGAGCTGCATTACGCCTTAATCATCGTGCCTTCGAAGGTTGGGCTCACCTCTGGGCCATGCCATCAGCCCCAACCCCTACTGTATGTTAATTGTATGTATTCTTCCTGAGTGTTGTGTCCCCTTTCATCTTCGAGAAGTGTCGGTGCACTACATCAGTGACAACAGAAGTAAATCCCTTCTCAAAGGACATCTAATCAGAGTTCTACTGCTAGGAGAAAAGCCTTGGAGTGGCGAAACAATTGTTTGTAACAAAAGGACTAAAAATTTACATCTACCACGGGTAACTACCCCACTACTGAGTTTTTTAAGTAAGCTAATAGCAGTGAAGGCGACGCTAGCCGGTAAAACTTAAAGGTTTGTTGTGGAGTCGCCTACCATATCTGCATAAGATGTCGATAATCTAAACTCGTGATGCCTCGTACACTTCACTTTTAACTAAATATAACCCAATGTGGGTGTGTCTAGGCAGCACAAAAGTGGAATCAAAACATCAAGGGGGAATCGACGCGAAACCCTATTCCAAAGAAATGCATAATACGTTGTCATTTCTTACAAAAATCTGTTTTGGGTCAGTGCTCTTATAACTAGTCATGAATGCGCATGAAAGCCAGTACATTATCCGCCCCTGAATTTTAGTTCTTATACGGGACGAAACCCTAGATCCAGGAAAATGCCTAAAAGGAATCAGTGATGTTGCGGTTGAGTATCCCCTCAATCGCATGAAAATTTACTGACAAAAACGGATGGATCATGAATGTTTACTTACAGCACTGACTACATCATGGTAGTTAACATGGAGGGCCGATAAGGGGCTGCTAGGAGATGACGCCCAAAAGAGGAGAGGGGCTGTGTTACGGTAGCTGCTTAACTCCAGGTTTATTAAAAAGGTCACCTTGTTTCTTGGTCATCGTAACTTTACTGGGTGACCTGACCTCTGGACCATGCCAAAAGCTTCTAACCCTACCGTATGCTGAATATTTGAATATACTGTCGGAGCACTACGTGTTTTTTTCAACTCCAGGGCAGCCTTGGGTGGCAAAAGTTCCCTCAGCTGTTTCAAGAGCCTAACATTATACAAGTGGATTTCACTGAGCAAACAGGATACGTATTTTTTAACCAAGTATAAAGGAGCACGGAAACATAAAACAATATTTTAAGCATCTTGAGACGCAGCCATTAGCAATAGCTAGTTAAATAGTAAATCGTATGCAATTTTTCAACTGTGGCATTGCTAAACCCTAGCACCTTTTAAACGTACAAAAGGACTTAGAGAACGAATACGTTTCAAATGTTTCAATATGTTTCAAATTTTGTAAAATTGCTTTTAATTTTAAGCCATGCAGACCTATTAAACCAGCTATTTAAAGGCTTAAAAGTTGATGCAGTGCAGTTAGTAAAATACAAAAGTACTTAAAAAGCGATGAATTTTAAAGTTATTGGCATTAGCAGCTCGAGGCCCGGTCAACTGACTACTATTAACAATTTGAGTGAATTCTTGGCCATAAAACAGACAAAATAGGTCATTTTTTTAGGATCATTTTGTATTAAAGCACACACAAATCCGTACATCCCTTAGCATCTCGACGGACCAGTGTTTGTTCGATCGTTTCAAAAGTCAACCGCTGGGAATGACCGCCTGATGGCTGACAATTTCTTTTTGCAGAAGTCTGCATTCTTATAGGTTCAAGTCGTAATAGACGAACCTTCATGCACCCGCATGAGCACTGCATTCCAGAATCTAACAGGTTTCGGATGTTTGTCTGCTCAAAATAATCATGGAAATATTTTATGTGTCAAAGCAAACACATAGCGACATCCAATTCGTCGCATACGTTATTGCTCTCCTAAGCCTAGTCCCTCTGTGCAGGCCACAAATTCCCAATAGTTTCAGCCAGTCCTATAATCCCACGAATACTTTGAACCCTGTGATACACTCCCTGCAACTTTTGTTGAATAACCGAACTCATCTACTGTTTAGATCTTACCCCCGGGTAAAAGACTTTAATGTGGACCTATCACAAATCAAATCTCCGACAAAACAGCAGCCCAGTGACTTAATCTTCATTGGTTCTGATTTCTTCGATGATCATCAATGTTCTTTGAAAGGCTTACCTGCTCGAGAAAACTCTTGGTTTGCGCTGATCGATTTAAGGAACGATTGCTCTTCTCTCGATGCCATCTTGGGTGTCCTTAAGTCGGCGCGATTGATCAATGGGACTCTATTGAGAGGGATTCTGTTTTATGTTGATGAGATTCCTAGTGCTCCGAGCCTCAATAACCTTGGCAACAGATCTGGTGGGTTTCCAAAAAAACATTTTCTGACAACTGGTCTTTATGCCCAAGGTTGCTGGGTTCGCTTACCCAACTATTTCTTATTGTTTTCTTGATTTGTCTTTTTACCATGCTTCCGGGTGTCACGTTTTTTCCCAAATATCCTTTATTTCTAGTACGTCAGCCGTTTGACTTGTAATGGCCCAGTGGATCAAGTTAGCATAACCTGAACATTTAAGTAGTTGATATTAACTCAGGTCCTTGGCGTTGTGTGAGCCACAACGCTCCCATCTGAAACCAAACATCGTAGCCATCCATAGACATCTGCAAACGAACTGGGATAGTATGCTAGTCGTCGTGGTGTACTGAGTTGCCTAATAAGCAGCCTAGTTTCACTTTTTCTGTCCTGCAGAGCTGCACTCGGCTCCTCTATATGCACTCCTGTTGCCTCGGGAGGCCGTGCCTCTATCGGTACGACGATGCTCCGATACACCCAACACAACCACCGCATGTACAGTTGCAATCTCCACCTCCCCCGAGGGCACATCACCACGATCGCGCTTCTGGATCCACCGATCACCATCATCTCCCCCACCCTCTCCTTCTTCAACCCCATCTTTTCCACGCCACCGCGTCAACGCCTCTCCACCAGATCATTATAGTAACCAGTCATCCTCTGATGGAACTGTCGGTAGTACCAGTGGAAATGGGGTTAGCAGTGGGAGCGGAGGAGTGGTAAATATGGAGGACGCCTTCCTTAATCGCTCCTCTGTCCTCTTTGTTGCCGTCTCCTTCATCCTCCTCATGTTCATCTCCCTCGCTTGGCTTGTCTTCTACTACGTTCAGCGGTTCCGCTACCTCCACAGCAAGGAGCGCGCCTCGGTGATTCCCTAGCTCTCTCATTTTCCTGCTTTATTTCGAGGGCATTGTCTCAGCAGAAGAAATAAAAAGTGGGGATTACTCACCCCGCGATGAGGAAGGGAGGAAAAGGAAGTAGAAGGGGCGGTGCGCTGTGTTTTACTCATCTCCTTTATCCGCCACGGACATGCTCCTCCTATGGGAGCATTGTTAGCCATTGCACTGTTATTATGCTGGCCTATCTTTAGATTTGGTGGTTTAACGGTGGATTTTTAAATCACCAGGCGCAAAGAAAGTGAATTAACACCGTAGCCGCCACGTTCTTAGGGGGACAACGGTCGCCACGATCAGTGTTTTGTTATTTGGTTTAGATCTTCTGTCAAATGCCATTTCCTTCTCAAAAGCGAAGGGTGTAATTTCTCCCCCCAGATCAAGATCTTTCACTTCGTCTAGAGGATAAATGATATATGTCACTTGGTGTAGGCGGTGCATCGAAGCTTAGAACCTGCGATGCGGTTGCAGCTCCCCACTAGAGCACCTACTGAGGGCCGGAAATAACGCATTACCTGCTTTTAGGCTAGACTATCCATCCTACCTGTTGTTTGGAGTGCATCTGTGAATTCATCACCTATCATTCCTTTCTTAATCCTTCAGCGTCGCCTGGCCGAATTGGCTCGCAAGGCCGTGGCGCGGATCCCGTTAAAGTTGCTACAGGCTGGTGATAAGGTGAGTTGTCACACATGCCTGCGTCATTGCGGACTAAGATTGCCACTATTTGTCACCCCTTGAAGGTGGTTGTGTGAGAGATTAGAAGGGTCAGCAAACCTGGAGGCGTCGGTTGTATCAAGGATTTATGAACACAGGAAGGGGTCTTTGTGTAGCAGATAATGAGTCATACATTCGTCATTTATTCATTCATTGGTGAAGTGTGTGTGTGATTCACTTTCGTGGACTGGTGGTGTTGATCAATTCCAACCCAATCAGTTGGTTGGAAGGCTTCAAAGTATCCAAGCTAGCGTTGGTGAGTGCCTCTTTTCGCATTGATACAATACGTAGCAGCACTATGTACTGAAGTCCTGGTGACAAGTACAAGAGCAGCTAGAGAGGCAGCGTCCACGCCTCAATCCACTTGGCCAATCACGTGTCGTGAGAAGACAGGCGAAGGGCGAACGGGAGTAGTTTTGTTGCCTACGTAAAAGCGAGCCTCTCTTTATAGCCTCGGAGTTTGAAAAGGCAGCCCATGGAGTTGATTGATTGACCTTAAGGTCACGACACTTTTTCTTTCTCGTTCTGTCTGTATGTGTAGGAGATCGGTGCTAACGGAGAACACTGCGCTATTTGCATTGAGCCCTATCGACCCTTCGATAACATCCGAATTCTTCCTTGCAGGCAAGTAATATGGTTCATTCTATATCCCCTACTTTTTATCCTCCAACTCGTCCAGGTTGTCCCGCCTTCGATGGCTTGGCGCTCCTTGTTATAGGTCAACCTGTAGTCTGAAATTTCTTCCCTTAAGAAAGGGGAGATTTAGTGATGGGTGGTTTTTCTCGTTATTTTATTGTGTTTCAATAGCTCCCACGTCCGTCGCCTGCGATATTCCCTCACCAAGGCACCAGTTTAAAGCCTTAAAAGGGCTTCCAAAGACCTCAATTTTGTCATTTGGTTGCGCTTTCATTTGTCTACTTGATGTTAGCCTTTTCAAAGTGGCACTCCAAAGCTCCACTAAGGAAAGCTCATTTCCAACAGGTCCATTGAAATGGACGATGGTTTTCCATACAAACACATATTTAAGCAGCTTACATTCATCTCATTTAGTTTATCTCTCTTTTCTGCAAACAAAAGGACTCTTTCTTTTCCAGGGTAAATTTCTTGTCATGTGATCCCTTCATCCATCTACCAAGGCCTCAATTCACACCTAACTGCGCACACCTCTGCTTTTATACGTTCCTCCTACTTCTCGAACTTTTTTATTCACCTCTTTGATCCTTTCTTTAGGACAAATCTGTTCTCTCTAAGATATGTAGGTCGTTTTCAGCCTATCCCACCGGCTGTCATTGGTCTGAGAGCCAGATATTTAGTTAGTTAACTTACATCGTTGGCAGTAGTCTGTTTCGGAGAGAAAATCACTTTCACCGAATCCTCGAAGATTCTGAAGTGAGTGAATCCATCAGGGATGGGGCTATTGGGTTCGAAGGGCATTTTTAAGCAATCAAGTAAATTTTTTTTCCATCAAGTCATGCCTAGAGGTGTGTAGCAAATTTATACCATCCACTGTTCGACGAGTCGGTTTGGACTAATCTGTGCGGTTTCAGGAACCCCTGAAAGCCCTCTGAAATAGCATATTAATGGACACTCCACCATCCCTGCTTATGTGACCCAAATGTGGCGTTAGGGCGTGCAAAAAGTCGTCGGAAAGGCGAGAGTGAAAGAGAGAGTGGGAAAAGAGAATGCATGAGGGAATGAGAAAAAAAGGTGCCATTCCGTCCATCCTATTGCGGGAGGCCGGAAGTACAAAATTTGCCCTTTTGGTTTTGTTTCTATCGTTTTGCTTGCTTGCTTGCCTGCCTCCTTGCTTGCATGTCTGTGCAGGCTTGTATGTGTGTGTGTTCATGTCTGTGTCTGATTGGTTGTACCACTTTCCCCTATCTGCCCTTCTTCTGCGTCATAATGCGAGGTCGAGGTTCTTCAGCCCTGTCTTCCCTTCCCCCACCCCCTGGCAAGTCAAATCCTTGCTGATTACTCCCCTTTTTTCAGTGGAGAAAATTCCACACAGCAATTCTCGAGATCCCAGGATTATGCAGATTCTCCACTTTCTTTTCGTCACCACATCACTGCCGGGCAGACCAGTTTCAACCCATAAACCGGCCACAGCAATCACCTCAGGGTCGAGGACGTTTAGCTTCAGACTGGGTGTATGCTTTATCTTGACCTCCCTTCACCTCATGAGGTCATTTGTCCGTTTGCTGCATTCCTCACTTCTCCGAATTCAATTGCATGTCTGCGTGCATTCCAATCTGCATGTTTTGAAAATCCTTCCTTGCGCATGAGGGCTAAACGAATGTCATCCGTGTGACCCGGATCCCAACCAGGATATTTGGGATTGTTTTTCTTCCCCCCGTCCAAAGCAACTGAACGTGGACCTCGATACAACGCGAAATTTTGCATCCTTCAGGCTGGCAAATGCTAGACATTTTATTGGTTCCCCCAGGCTCCAAATGGCTGTGTGTGCGTGTGCATGCTCGCATGTCTTGGATTGCGAATGTTTGTAAGAGCCTCTCCCCTCCCCCCCCTCTGAAAAGCAAACTATGCTTACCTGACTCGGTCGTTTTGTCGTTGCTAATGATGATAGAATTACAAGTTACCAATCAAACCATTCTCCCCATCCGCGTAGCGATCGGTCGGTGGTCTTTCGTCCATCTCCACCCAACTTATTTGTTTGAAAGAAAAAAAGCTGTGAAGACGAGAGAAAGTCCACCCTCCAAAATGCCAATGAGGCGAGCCACTCTGAAGTTGGCTTTACTAAGAACTGGTGGAAGGTCTATCAGCCTAGTGGCATAGATGGCACGAGGGCTAGAACATTGAATCGGCTCGCGGAATATTTCCTTTAAGTAAAATAAGTTTTTTGGCCTTTTCTTGATTCGTGTATTCTGAATGAAGTGATTCCCGGGTGGTTTAAAGATTGCCAGCTTAAGTCCTCTAAGAACTAGCGACATTTTGGGGAGGAATTACGTGCCCACTATGTTATCTCCGTGTTCGCGTGAATGTCACAGTCCGGGAGTATTCCTTCTTTCCTAAAAATCCTGCTAGTGCACAGTCCGGTGTGCTTTGTCTTTCTTTTTTGCATGTTTTCTCGCGCCATCGGCTAATTCTGTAAAGACACTTATCTCTACCACTATGGTTGCGATTGCTGACTACCTAAAAAAGTATTATCTTGGGGTACATTCCCCCTTAAAAAACCCCATCAACTCAATCCCAATCTCTCTTGGATATCTTCTATTTTCACACGTAATCTTGGAACATACGCTGAAGAATAATACCGATATATCGTATCTATTCTATAAAAGTCGCTTTACTCGTACAAAACAATTCTATTTGCACGTAATCTCTTCTGGAGTCTTTATCATACGTTTTGAAGTCATCAGAGAGCTCGATAACTCGTGTCTGGCGCGTGTTGGGTGTCTGGGTTTTCCGTGGGTGGCCTTCAAATCGCGCTGAAGGCGGTCTTTTAATTTTGTGGATAATTAACTAATAAATCACGAAACAGTTGTCATAAATGTTGCAATGTGCTAGCACAAATTGTACTATTGTGAATACTATAAATTTCAGGAAGTACGTGGTAATATTGTTATAAATGTCAGTTTTAGTTTTTGTTAAAATCACAAATAACATGGGGCAAATAAGTTGTACAAGGTAGTTAGTCAGTTGGAATTTCTGAGTAATCAAGTGAAATCTCAGTCAGTTACTGGGATCGTTCTCTTTTGAAGCTCGATAACTTCTGTCCAATCTGTCTTCTATGTCTTGAAATCTTTTACAGTGAACCGTCACGCCAGAGATGCTTCCACGTTCTCTTCGCCAACGAGAAAAAATTGTTTTTCTTTTTTACCAATGCAGCTTCGTTTACAGATTACCCAAACACTTTTCTCTCACACCATGAAGTGTTAAATCCTCAGTCTCTTTAGAAGTCGATAATGCGTGCCTGTTTTGCCGAGCCTTTACGAATACTGTTTTCGTTATTAGAGGGATTTTAGTAGTTTGGAGCCAACTAATCAGCTTTTGGCTCAATTTGGTGCAACTTGAGGCCTCCCTATCCTGCATTTGTGACCCCGAGTTGGTGCTAAAAAAGAATTGCAATGCCACAAACGCTTGACACACGTATGGAACGTAAGGCTTTTCAATCCCACATAAAAACCTTCTCCTACGTTGGTTCTAGTTTTTTTGTTGTTGTAAGGGGTAAAAAAACGCCCATTTTAGTGAGAAAAAAGCAGTCTGCGCTTTTGTGTAGGGCTATTGTCTACCTGCCTGAATAACTCCGACACTTGACATCAATGGCGGTGACGCTCATAAAATAAAACGAAAAAAGCCTCCCCCATGACGAAGACTAAAGTACACTCATGCACACGCATTCACACACACCCAGACTCAGACTGCTTTCTTAAACATGGCGACAGAAATCAACGTCGGCTTTGTTAGTTTGTTACTTTGAGTGGTCCGAGAAAATTGCGGAAAGTTCGCGTGGTAGAGGCGGAAGAGGAGAGTGAGAGTGTGTACGTGTGAACGCTGTGCAGTCTTTCTTGTCTGGCAGTCGGTTAGTAGCACATTTTCTCACGCTACACCATAGCATGGCGATGGCACACACTGCAGTCCGATGACAATGCTGATGGATAACGCGTCTGCCAGCTCTCTGTATGTGTCTGTAGGCGTGGGAGAAAGCCGACACCACTCAATTACCCCTTAAATGACTCACCTGCACCTGTTCCTGCTTTTTCATCCACCGTACCATTCTCTATCCTTATCAGAAATCTACGCTTCATAATAATCCGACAGCCCCTTCCCAAAGCAAGAAGTACGAGGCTCAAGTTAATCCAGTCACTGGGGTAGACTATTCAGCCAGAGACTCCTGAGTTGTTTAGTCTGTTGGATCACACGAATACAGACTGATCATGTGTGGGAATGGGTTTGGAAAACTGTCTACAACATCCGGTTGCGGACTGTTGCACCGACCCTGGCGTTCTTGTAGGCACGAGAACAGTGGATCCCACCATTTTGGTTGACGACCACATGAACTGGCCGAATAACTTCAGCGTTTCTGATCACCCACAGTAGACAAGGTGGATATCATTCTCAGTAGGAACTGGAAGTTGCTTTCAAGTAGTGCTTCTTATTTTTCTCTGAGTAGGAAATGTTTCAAGTGAATCGCTCTTTAGCTACTTTTCCTGCTTTTAGACTTTGAAATTTTTAGTCACCAAAAAGCTGAGTCAAATGGTTGTTGTTAGTTCATTTAAATGTACTTCACAAGACGGCATTCAAAACTCTTCCAAATGCCATAAAATGTAAAGAGGTGATGCACACAACGGGACACAAATTTAACTTCACTACAGTCTGCGCTGGTAGATTTTCCATACTCCCGTTTTTTTTTATCTGCAAAGGCTCCGTCTCTTTTTGAGCAGTCGACAGTAGAATGAGGAGACGGAGAAGGAGAAAAAAAAACTGAAAGGCGAAAACACGGTACAAAACAGCTTCGCTGCTGTAAATAGGAGGTAATCAACTGCCCACCTTTCTGATTGGTTCCCTCGCTTAGGTGGTGGGTGGTGCGCACATTGCATGCGCGCGAATTTTTTGAAAGTGACCGGGTGAGAGAACGCGACACCGCGCACGCCCTCCTAAAACCCCCTAAACTTGTTCCTGTGTTTCTGAGCCGCTGGTAAGGGCTTTTGGATTAGTTAGTGCGTGTTGTCTCCAGGTGCTACGATTTCACATAAGCTGGCACCTTCAAAACTCGCCTCCCTCCTCCCAAATGCCCAAAGTTGTCGGAGTTAATCAATTAAGCCTCAATAGCTCCAAGATTGGCTGTTTGTTCCTCTTTTCGACGTTTTTGATCATTTTTGAAACATTGGAACATCTGCTATCCCACCGGTGACCGCGAATTGTTCGAAACTACCTTAAATAAATTGCGAAGGCACCTTGTTGATCTGTGGGTGTATTTCTGTTCTGCAGACACTACTTTCACAAGCTTTGTATTGACCCTTGGCTGTTGGAGCAACGCAGCTGTCCGATGTGCAAGTTGGACATCCTACAGGCTTACGACTTCCGCCCAGAGATGGACCGCTCCTGCCCTGCCTCAACCGGTAGTGATTCTAGTACCTCTCCTGCTGTCGCTTCTGCGGGTCAGACTTCAAGTCCGGTGTTGGTGAGAGGGGGTGTGGGGACAGAGAGGGAGGAAGGAGGGGTGGTCACCGCGGTAAACACTGCTGGTGAGGAAGTGACTCCGGAAACCGTGATTACCGCTTCAATCTCCAATTCGGTACGTTGTGGTGCATCTATGCGATTTGGGGATTTGTTGTACAGTGTAGTTTGATTGATTGGCTTAGCAGATTACTTCTACATCAAAAGCGAGCCTGACATGTCGATCCCGTTGTCTAATGAAAGGCAGCTAGCTCTGAAATGATGGCCTTCTTGACACACTTTCTCATATGACAGAAGCATGCGAACGAAGCAGGTGGCGGTACCCCGCGCGAAGAAATATTACACGCTTTGCATCCACCTACAACTCATTTGCAAGGCGTGCCGATGTGCTACTTTTTTCATCAGCGATTAGCAAGGCGGGGGTGTGCACCGGCTTTGTTGTCTTTTTATTGCCGTGTCTCCTCCGTTGAGTCATCCCTAACGCACCGCCCCTACCAGTGAAATGTCAGGACTCGGTCACTGCTACTTACTACCGGTCAGTAGGCACACGCTGCAGCCATACCTTTTTTTTAGTACCATGACTTGGAGCAACAGTCGGGGGAGTCAACTGCGCCCAGCCGTGTCGACTGGTTCAGAGGACTCTTTCGGCCTCCTACAAGTACCCCATATTATCAGCGCAGAATCAGACGGCTCTGCTTGAGGAATGTAGAGATAACGACGGCGGAGGTGGAAACCCTTGAGTCGCAACCCAGCAGCCACCTTCTGCCGGTAGAGGGGTGTGACGAGGACCCTCCACACGCCTCCCCCGCGACTGTATCGTGACTTCGTCAGCCTGCGCAATTTTCTGTCTGTGTATCCCACCCTCTCCTCTCTCGCCTACCTTTTTCCCTTCCCCTCAGCCCGTTCTCCCTCGTCTTTCACTCGTGCATTTCACCTCCTTCGCTGTCTTACGCCAACTCACTCGCTCACAGACACAATCGCATTTAAACGCCTCCCCTTCTCCTTTGTCTTTGTCCTCTTATGCTGTCGCCGCTGATGGAGTAGCCGTTGTTACCACAGCTACCAATTTTGATTGTCCCAGACGCCAACACTACCACTGTTGCACAATGGACGATCCCTTTATCCATAACATATACATAAACACGCCCATATCCACGTAGACGTACACACTTGTCCATAAACACGCATAAATACCACAAAAAAACGAAACAAATGAAACAGTGTTACTATATATGAGTCGTGTATCTAGATGAACGCGAGTTACTCTGATTTTCCTCTGATGCAGTCTTTCCATTACCTGTTCTGAGGAAAGTAGGGGGAAACAGTTACTAAGTGAACAGCTTTCGGTTGATAGGCTTCACGAAGGGGGAGGGGGTCGCACGAACTTTTCCTCACTGGGGGGTGCACCTACTCGCATGAATAATCGGGGACCATTCTCGATCCCAACGGAACTCTGTGAGTACCCTAGGGCGCACTATGGATGCCCAGTGGGGTGGAGAGTACCCACGTCTGCTGCAGAAAAAGTTAACCTAGGGTCCAGCAGAGACATGACTGTGTGAAAAGTAGACCAAACATAAGTCGCTCCAGTCAAACAAAAAGTACAAAAATTAAAATGTGGATGTTAAACATGTGTGCACATGAGTGTAGAAACATTGATTATTGAGAACTCAATGATAACAAAAAACTTCCTTTGGACAGTCAATCATAGATCGGAAGTAATCCAAGCAGTTTGTAGACCAAGGAAGGGGACCGAATTAACGGATCGTGGAAAAAGACCTAAGCGATGGCCAACAAGGAATCCTCCCAGATGTGATGAAGATAATCTAAAAGCATTTAAGACAGAAAGAGAATTAAAACACGAGTGTACAGATGCAAAAGCCTCTCCCTCTCACTCGCCTACCCGCGGTCGTGTAGTTGGATGTGTGCGGCTTAAACAAACGAAATGGTTTAGAAGACGTTCCGTTGGATCATTATCCACACTCAACTCGACGTCTGTGAAGATCAGGGCACATATAGCCCTTTGTACATTGGGCACACTTTCTAACAGATTCTGAAATCCACCTTAAGACGAGTCGCAGGTTATCATTTGAGAAAACCCACTATAGCGGCTTACCAGGCGTTGAAAAGGCAATTTCATGCTGAGTAATCCCACAGCTCCTATCGTCCATGCTGAAGGTGTCCTTCACGATGTTTACCAGACGCGGTCGGTTATTGGTTCTGAGTGCAATGGTAAAAGACGTGGCATTTAAACCTACAAATTTTTGAGGAGTAGACGTACATCTCCCATCCGTCGTGAAACGGCCAATTTTTGAGAGCAAATCCAGACGGCAAAGCAGTGGTCGGAGGGCTGATCAATAGTGGCGCGGTTCTCCTGCACCAAACCCAACGCTATTGCCAGGGATATGGACGTGATCGATGCACTGTCCTCGAATGGCATTTGTAACACAATATCCGTGTCGGATTGAGATATCTCTGTCAAGAATCTAAGCTGCAAAAAGGCAATGATAAGGAGGTTAGTATGAGTTATAAAATTGCGTGTCCAATGAATCCACGTACCCACCAATGATGAAGAAAAGGAGGGAAAGCAGTCTAAAAGTAGAGGTAGGCGACTACTGAAACGACACTGAAAGACGCGATCTTCGATGAGACAATTTTTGCATACTCTGGAGCAGTTTGCCATAGCAGACTTGAATATGTGGGTACGACCCATTTCGTGGAGGCCCATGGATGCGATTCCCACCGGCACGTCACAGACAGAACACAGGGTCGAATTTGACGGTACCTGCGAAGTTCAGTAGGAACCATGCCAGTGCAAGTAACACCAGATACCAAATTTCAACGCAAAATTAAACGTATTTGGGGACGGATAATGAAAATTTAGGCACAAAAGTAGGAGAAGCAAGTAAATGCAAAGAATTTTCGAGTTACGAAGTCTTTAACTGAAGGAATGTTGGTCACAGCATCGGACGGAACTGTATTCAGGTAGTGTAAGTTGGAGGGTGAAGAATTGTTGACCTGTAAGAAGTATATAAACAAGAATTCACCGTCGACTACCTTTTCAATGCAATAGCTGGCTTTGTTTCGATGCTTTTTGCCATCCATGTGCGCCTCTAGTTGGCTTTTAGAATTTAACTGAAGATTGCAAACACTGCAAAATAACGCAGATGTAGAGTCATTAAGGTTGATATTGGAAGAGTTAGAAGGGACACGGTTCAAGGCATTTATTGAAGGTTTAGTAAATGTAGCGCCTTTATAGGGATCGTCACCACCCTCAACAACGTAAATACCCTGCAATGAGCAGGAAAGCATTTCCAAACCAGAACAATCCATGTTGGGTTCCTACAACTACAAATTAGCCTTACAAAAAAGGCACTACCTGTCCTCGAGAGCCCAATACTTGCTTTTGCCTGTCAATGTGCTTTTTTCCTTTCACGTGAATATCAAAATTAACTTGGGAATACAAAGGGACATCGCAAGTTGAGCAGTAGAATTCCGACTTCCCGGAAGAATGAGGCACTCTCGATCTTGGATTAAGGCGATCTGTGAAATCAACGACTACAAAAGGTGAGGCAGAAGAGGTGTCGATTGGTGGGGGACTTTTACAGCAGTGAGTTAGCATTTCAGGTGCCGAATAATGTTCGGAGCAAGTAGGACATGTCAGGTCAGATGAATCTGACCTTGGTGAAATCTGCCAAGGTTGATAACAATCAAAGCTAACACGATCCGAAAGCGTTAATGCATGCTCGCATCTCCTTAAATGCGTTTTGCTGCTTTGGTGAATTCGCAATTGCTCAGGTGAATTGCAATTCTTGTTGCATACAGTGCAAGAGTATGAAGAAAATTTACTCATCTAAAAGTCAATAGAACAAAAACACTCAAAGGCAGAGAGCTCAGGAATGTGAAATGACGAAATCACCGTAAACCTTTACCTACCCAATGAGGCTGCCACTTAAAACTGCGCTATCCTTTGGCCCATATAAACAAAATATTATGAATAGGTTTTGCTAATTATGCAACAATATTAGTTCGTTCAAATAAAATCTAGAATCAACCTTGGGTTAATTAATACAGGATGCTTCCGCCCACAATAGCCGGTACCAGAAAAGGCCATCGAAACAACACCCTCCTACCACCTCCCACCACCACCAATCCCACAAAACAACCAACGCGCATCGACCTCACACCCGCGGAAGTGCACACACCAACCCCCCGCCGAAGGAGATTCTTGGGTCCAACAAGCGTCTCATTTTAAGAGGAATATGAAACTTCAACCCGAAATCTCATCCACGTCGACCTCTTTTCCGCCTAAGGTCGAATGATATCTCGCCGAAGTCATTGGATTCTCCCGAATCGATGCAGATCGCCTCAGTGTCTGAAATTTCGGGGATAGCTGCAGCCGCACGCCTTGTGAGGCCAAAGCCTCTCCGAGGGGCCTTACCGCCAAATCCACGTCTCCCACCTCCTCGTCTGCGGCCGGTGGAATTTTGTTTTTCAGAAATCGAATGGGCACTCGAACTTGGTCGATCGCAGCCGGTACGAAAAACATTTTCACCGTCCTCTGACACCTCCTCAATGATATTCAGAAGCATTTGATCTTCTGTTTCACCCCGCGACTCATCTGAAGAGGTGGCAACGAAGGGGCTGGTTATCCGTTTCAATCGTCTGCGGGTAGATACAGATGTGTCCGATATAGCTTCCTCTATGGACTAAAAGGAAAACTGTAAATAGTCGGGCAGTGAAATTGGGAGATACATTGCTTGTGTGGACAAAATCTGTCTGCCTAGAGTTGAAGCTGTGCCTTACCCAGCATCATTATTTAATTTTTTGTAATTCAGACCTTTGGTCCACTTGTAACGGGTCGACTATGGGAGGAACAATTGCCCTCCCCGTGATTTCACCAAAATTGGTTCAAGAAAGCTACCCTGAAAAACGGTGACGAAGCCTCGTGCAATACGAACACTTCAGGTGAATTTTCTCATTGACTTTGACCATGCGTTCAAGGCATACAAATGAACATTGTGCTTAATCACAGGTGCTTTGAAAGTGTTGCTTTAGACAGGCATGAGAAATGGGACATGGTTTATACCCCGTAGCATTGACGCATATTTTACCTGGGCATTTAAGGAAGAATGCACATTTCAAATCAAGTGATGGTAACATACCTCTGTTTTGACAGAACCGGCATCAATGACTGAAGCGGAAGGAGTAGATTCGTGCATTGGAGGTCCTGAAAATTAGAAAACAATTAACCAAGATGTTATTCCCGAAGTCAACTCCTGCAGATTAAAGAACAGAGCGGTTCTTTCCTGGAACGAGAGGATAATTTGATCGTCTTAAACGTAGCTACAGACGTTCGACACTGAGCTAGTAAGAAAAAAGCAGCTTCCCAACCAACTACCTCCATTCAAATGTGACAATTCTTACAGTAAATTCAAAAAAAGGCTGCCATACAAAGGCAGTTGTACGACGCGCTCAAACACGACCGAATATGAGCACTTCTTGCCCTGTCAGGCAGCCTTAATACTAATAACTCACGAATTAGATCCAACAATGTGAGTTTTGCACCAAACATCTGTGCCATTTTCTTCACTATTCCAGCTAAGTAAACGATCTCTACACAAACCAACTTAGGTTGCGTCACATTACTAGCGCCAGGCATAAAGACCGAGACAACCAGAGGAGCTGGAGAAGAAGGCATCACTTAAAACGGACGTTTCATGAGAGTACCAAAGAACAAGGGAAAGTGGTGTTGAAACGCCAGTAGAACTACCCAATTTCCCACATAAAACTATCTTAGGGAACGATTTAGGCATATGGTGACTCGACCTTACCACCACTTGCAGCTTTATCATCAACCTCAGCTTTCCTACGAATGTTTGCGAATCGCATGACCTCTGGGATGATTTCCTCTTCACCACATCGGACTTCAGCCAGATGACCCCGAGTCTGAGCCATCATCTTTGCCACAGTAGTGTGGATGGCCTCGTTGTCAGCACCAATGACGAAGTGGCGCAGCGCCGTGGCCATCTCCACCTCGGTGAGGAGCTCTAACTGGAGCTTAGAGTTTGAGGCAAAGTAACGGCTGATGAAAAATTCCACATCGTTTACTGAAAAGCCGCCTCGCTCCGTTGCGGAATTCAAACCTGTCCCGGGCTGAGAGAAGGCAGTGGTGTTAATGGCGGTTCCACGACACGTAGCGTCATCGCGCTTGGTAGTGAAGGTGATCAGGTCCTGAGAAATGTTGAAGCAAAAGTAGCCTTAAATTAACCAAAAATGGACGATTTCCCTTTACACAATCATCCACGAAAAAACACGAATCACACATAGCAGATCGTCAATAATTTGAGATGAAAGTGAAGGAGAAGTGGTACTGACCTTGGGATTGGCCACGCGTCCAACAAACTTCTGACCAAATCGAAGTGCGCTGAATCTCTCAAAACCACCGCTTGTGTCAACGCGCAGTCTGACCAGCGGTTCTGACGGCTGTTTGAATATCATCGCTTCTGACGCACCCTCCTCTGCCTTCACCACGCGTTCCTGCTGACGTGATTCTGCGGTCACCACGACAGCTTGATCGATAGCTGCCTGGATGCGCGCAGTACACAACTGCTCCACGCGCAAGCCCACATCGGGTGAATTGACGTCTACCTCTGATAACTCATCTTTCAATACCACCTCCTCGAACACGAACCTGCGTACCGAGCGCAATGGCAGTTTAGTCAACTGGAAATGAAAAGACAACACACTCGAGAAAGATGGCGGAATAAGAGGCGAAACAACGAAGGACGCACCTTGAATTCCATGTCTCGAATCTCCAAGAGACCGGCACACTTTTCAACTGCTTCGCCTTCACTCAACGAGGTGGCCACCGAACTTCCCGGTTGGATTACGTAGAAATTGCCCGTACCATTCCACTCTGGCTCAATTCGACAGCTGTGCTCATGTCCCCAAACCACTAGATCGAGAAATGAGGGCAAAAAGTTCTCTGGAAGATATCCAGTGGGTCCATGACGAACTCGGTTCTGATGAATTACCGCGATCGAAAACCACTCGCCCTGGTCCGGTCGAAGAAAGGTGATCTTGTTGTCACGAAAGAGACGATGCAAGCGCTCTTCTCGAATCGCGCCAATTCCATAGATTGCCAAATTGGTAGAACCCTTGCGAAACAAGAGAGGGCTAACTTCCAGTTCCTCCACACTATCGAATTTGCCGAAGAGGTTGATGAAACCACAGGTGTGGAGGAGGTCTGGAGGACAGACGCTGCCAAATCCGCTCGGGTCGTCGTGGTTGCCGTGGATGGCGAAGATGGGGAGGCCAATGTTGAGATTTAAATCGAGGTAGTTGACACCAGGATAGGAAGTGTTGGCGAAGATGAGCGCAGGATTGCTGAGCAGTTCGAATTGAACTGGGCTTTCGTCGAGGCAGTGGGTGCGAAAAAGTCGGAGGACTTCATTCAGACATCGAATGGAGGGACGAACCTCGTGGAAGAGATCGCCACCTTGCAGGATAAAATCAACCTTATGTTCTTGTCCCAAACAGAGAATTTCTTCTAGAGTCTTAAAAGTGTCGCTGCCACGTATTCCATCTTTTTCCATATAGCCCACATGATTGTCGGAGGTCAATAGGATGCGAAATGTGTTGTCTAGACCCTGATCAAAGATGATAAAGTAGTGTTAAGATTGCAAATAATAGATCTCACTAGTTCATACGAATTCAATTTGAAATTAAGAATAGATACATCCATCCAGTCCGTGGTTCAGGGTATGGTGCAAATTCATAAGGGCAGATAAAACATCAATTGCCACAGCAAAGTTTACGTTCTAAATAATAAACTACTGTATTTGGGACAAAACAATGCCCATCTTGGCTTCAGTTAGGCAAACGTGAGTAGAGTCGCACAATACATCACAGAGCATCTAAGACAATATTGCAGTAGAATATCAATACCCGAAAGTAGTGAAATGACTTCAACGTTAATACAACAGAAATAATCACTACCGCCCCACCGCAGAGGCAATTTACAAGGAGCCTAAGGTCTAAGCTAACTTCAAGGTCATGGGCTGCGTTTGTATTCCCGGTAGCAAACAAAATCAGCAGAGAAAAATAGCCAAATGGGTTTCTTCCATACTTTAAATTCTCCAATAATTTTTTATGGCTTGTTTTATTTTATCACCATATTGTCAGCGTGCATGGAGAACACGTCTGGAACCCTACATTTTGAAGTCCATAAAATTGTTTTAACCTTTAATATTTTTAAATATCTTTTTAATAAATTTCGGTAAAGTTTTAAATATAGGAAAACGCAATATTTAACTTTGATAGTGCCTGAGGCCGAAGTTAACCACCATTATCTCCCCCACTTGGAACTTTTGATAAAGAAAGTTTGTGAATTTGAGCACTCATAATGGAACAAGTATGAACAATGCGAAAGTAGTTATCGCACGACAATGGTTAGGCGGTAATTGTGCCCATGCCTAAAGCGCGCGCCCTGGAATCGCTTCAGTTGGTGGTTGGTTAGCCCCTCCTAATGGGTGCAATCAAACGCCCCAGCAAGAAAGCCTACCTCGCGGTGATACCAAACGACCCTTGCGTTGAAACATTTTCCCCCTTTGGGATGACTATGTGTCAGACCCGTCAGAATCTAACCTTAACGACTAGAAGCAGGTACCCCGACCGACTCAAACAGGAGCTTATAATAGAACAATAACTTTGACATTGATCGCCATAAAATCCAATTAAGCAAGGTGGGAAAACCCCATCGGCAGGTGCATGTCAAACACTCCGTCACACACAAACACCCCCAGAAAAGCAAAAAAAGTACCATAGTGCGAACACATTAGAATGCATAGAAAAAAGGCAGATACACAGTCATAAATTAATAACAGATGGAGACACACACAAGCAGACACATCAAGAGATTGACAGAGAACAGATGTCCGAGAGTTAGTTGAAAGCGAAATGGCAATGAACGTGGAGGAGACTAGCAACTGTACAGCTTGTCACCGTCCATTGGCGGTCGAAGCGGAGGCGGTGGTGGCGGGAAGAGGAGTGTGGTCGCAATAGCATGCATCGCACACGCGATTGGGCCAGTCGAGCCCCCGCTGTGGCACCGGCTGGCGGCGGCTTGAGCATCCTGCACAGACGCCTCGCCCGCACGCTCGGCAGTGGTGGATCGATAAACGCGCACCAAAGGCGCCACCGCACAGCACGCATTGCGTACACTCCTCGTCCGGCTGCCAGTAATCTGGTCTCACCGCTGCTTTCACCAGTTCTACATGTACATACAGTTAAAATGTTATGCCCATTCGCTTTCACCTCCTAGAATGGCAGCTACGATTACTACTAGGCTTGACCAAAAAGTAAACGGTGATGAAAAAGAGGAGACGCACGCTTAGGAGTGCTGAAGACAGGAGCAATGTAGCCTGCAGTGGCGGAGAGGAGTTCAAAAACTCGCCGACTGGACGTCCCAGCGGAAGATCTAGGGATATCAGGACTGCCAGAATAACGTGAAGCCATGGCAGTGGAGGCAGAAGAACTACCATTGGAATGGGTCTTCGAAGCGTAGCAGCTGTAATTTGCAGTGGATTAGTCAAATTGAACTGACTAAGGAGTATTGAACTCTTTACACAACGACAAAATGACAGTCCTCTAAAGTACGAGGACCACTATCAAAGTCGATACTTTAGAAAATAATATGAAAATGATTAATGGGGGACATCTTAAAAAGTCACAAAGATAAAGATCACTATCGACTACAGGAGATTGTTTAAAAAACGCTTTAGTGCCAGCTAACCACTCACCGATCGCACACCCGCACAGCCGCTTCCACATACCCGCGATCGGGAACGGGGATACGGTGTTTGGAGCAGCTGTCGCATACCCCACGACCACACGCTCTACAGTGATGCTTCTCTGCGTCGTCTGTAGGCGACACTTTGGCGCCGGCAGTGTCTGCGGAGCATACGGCAGAGGGGGAAGTGTTGAAGGTAGTGGCGTTGGAGCTAGCGGAGGTGGGGAAGAGGTAACCACAACAAGCACAGTTGATGATCTGCGAATTGGGCTGCCAGTAGGCGGGAGCCACAGAGTCTGCAATAAAATCGCTCAAGAGACGCGTCGGTGGGCCGGCCAATTGAGAAACCTGCTCGCTCACGCTAGTAAGACCATCCACCACCAGTTGACCAAATGGATGCGCGCCCTGTAAAAGAACAATGGCATTAAAAATTTAAGCAGCCGGTACACTAATAATTTGTAAAACATAGCAAACAACAGGCCTGGTATAGATTAAGATATAAAAAGGAATTGGAGAGCAGGTAGGTCTGGCAATGTGGGTTCGAGAGAGCGACTGTTGGGGGCAATAGTCATGTGATTGACCTGTAGGAGGGAGGTCTCGCCTGGCCAGAGGTGGACAACCTGCCAATGGATCTGGGGCGAGTCCTCGGGTGGGGGATTGCCGGACCAATGAGCACGACTACGGTACACCACACCGTGATGTGGACAGCTCAGTACGTAGCCCCACCACAGGTACTTCATCACTCCCGTAACCGCATTCTCCCTCTCCTCCAGCGCCTTGGGTACAAGGACTATGGGACGGCCCATCGCGTAGCAGCGCTGCAGGAAGATGAAGAAAGAGCTAACACAAATGCTCTTTGAAAAAAGACTAAGAAAGGGCCCTGTCTACTTCATAGCCAATGGAGCAAACTAGGCTAGTTCATTTAATCAGAAGCACTAAATGACAGGTCACTGAATGTATGCACAATTTTGGCTTCAATACCGCTGCCATGAACATCCCTTCCCCATGACATCAAACCTACTAGATATTACTAGTTCACAAATGCATGCCTAGCAATGTAGCAAACAAGTGCACGAAAAACTACTTCAAAAGGGGCGAAATAAGCTCTCATGAAGGATAGGCTAATCGAAACCAAGACTTGGACGAGGTTGGAAAATTTGTTTTGAAGTAAGAAAGCTGTTGGATCAGGATTTTGGTTAGATTGGAAGAAGTGAAATTGATCAACATTCCAATTTCTGCCGTTGTAACTAATGTGATCCAGGTCCATGGAATTGAGAAAGTAGGTAGTCCGATTACTTGTTCTGGCAACCATTAAGCAGCGAAAGATGATATTTCCCGTTTTTTAACCAGGCTTCAGCCTCGTCTGAGCAAAAAAATGACTTGCACATGAAAAAGTGAATAGTTGGCGAGACGGTTGGTGGGGGGTCAGGCAGGAGGAGCCCTGTGTCACAGCAAGACTGCTTCTTCACCCGCCTAACAGTGAAAGAACCGTCCATTTCGCCTGAGATTGTTAGTCCAGTGTCAAGTTGATAACCATATCAGGTGGAGAGCATGGAGGATGAGAATGACGTGCTATCCCCCTGTCGTTTATCCCAAAGGGCAGTATGAGGTCTCCTTACCGGTAAGTCAAGTGATAGTAAGAGGTCCTGAGTCGTCACCCAAAAGCCAAGGATAGGATTTACCTTCCAATAGCTGGAGGACCGGTCCAACTTCTTTCTAAAAATGAGGGTTTTCTCGAACCCCCTCTTTGACCCAACATCGTTGCAAGACTACGTGAGTTTCATTAGCTCGCCTGGGCATATACTGGGTGAAAAAGGGGCAAATAAAGCATTTACAATCAAGGAGAAGTGACAAGTAAATGCACCACAACAATAATTCATTCTGACAGACGAGGTTATTTCTGATCCCGGACTAATTAGCGGAAACCAGCTATAGCGCAATGAGATCCGTGTTCTTGAAAAACGTGAAGCATTCGATCAGCTAGGCTGAATCGAAGAATTTCTTAATTATCGTCTAATCATTGCTGCTGCTTCTTTCGCTTTCGCCTCGCCCCTCTTTCATGCTTTTTCCCCAGCATTGAAATGCCATCATCTTCACTTGTCATTCGATGATAAGTGGAGGTATTTTGTTTCTAGGTGAGCCATAAACACGACTTTAACATTGGCTGATTTCAATGTGGGACTGGTACTGACTTTGCTGGCCCACTTTTCTGAACACTTCCCATTGTTCCATGACTGAAAACGGGCTATGAATTTGACCGAAGGGTGAAAACACTTTTCTGTATTTGTGACTAACATAGTCGTAGTCTTATTGGCAACAATGGGATACAATCAAGTATTCTTTTATTGAGGTCTTAACTTCGGAAAGTGTACAGTCGATTTGCGAGGTGTTTCAATATCCTTTTCATGCAAAAAGTCGTGCTCAATTACGAGGCATCCCAAGGAATCCAGAAAAGGCATATCAACAATTTTGTAGGTGACTTGTAATGCATTTGGTGCAAATAAGGGCCCTGGTGACCTTAGCCAAGCGCGTAGATACCCTATGGTGGATTAGTCAATCAGATCATGGCATGTTAAGGTCGCAATTTGTCCTTAAAATCTGCCACTACGATGACGCTTAAAACGATTTAAGCTTATTCACCACTTTATATGAAGTCTGTCTCTTGGAAAGTGGGATAATTTTAACAATTTTGTGGCTGCATATATACTAACCACCCTGTAGCCCGTTCCTCAAGAAGACGTAATGACGCATTGAAACTAGTAGAAACTTGTCAAATTTACGCCACCATTTATATGGACACATTAA